AAGATAGACCGTCTTTTTTTCGAACCAATTTATGCGCAATAAGTTCTTTAATAATATCTTGCGCTAACAAATCATCTATTATACTGCGTATCTCGAGACGTTCGGCTGATGCAAACCATCTGGGCGCGTAAGCGTAGATGGAATGATCTTTAAGGGCTATCGGTTACTCTACTAATTGTCCTCTACTTCAGCGATCGGAACTGTACGTACCTTTCGTATTATCTCTCGTATCGATTCGTTCATCATAGGGCCAAAATCTGTATAGATTTCCTGCAACGAGCTATCTTCAACATCTGAGATCTCAATAGATACAATCTCACTGAATAATTGTACTCGCTTCTCTAAGTCCATATTCGACGGTTTGTATACCAGAGCTTAATTGTTTTGCGGCAAAGAAAAGACCTCGCACAAAACATATGGAAAAGTGCTTTCGGTCGAATTGGCTGAATTTTTAATATGTTGTAGTTCTCGTCATTCTGAACAAATGTTTCAATGGAATTTGATCCTAAGACTAGTTTCAGAGATATAGGTGGTCAAAGTGTCCTCTACCGAAAAAACGATGTGCACTACATACGCGTTATTATCGACTTCTCAGGGCTTTGTTTTTAATATATATGAGTTAAATAGTTATAATGATAGTAATTACAATAAATATAATAATAATTATAATATGTATAATAATAATTATATAAATAAATATAATTACAATTAAATTATGATTGTAATTATATATAATTATAATTATATATTTGTCTAAAGTCACACTATATTAATCTGAAGGCTCATAGAATAAATGTCGATTCGATGTCGATTCCATTATTATTTCTAATTGGGATTCGACCGAAAGCACTTTTCTATATGTTTTGTGCGAGATTTTTTCTGCTCAACACAATAGGAATAGACAATGAGTCATTACGAATAATCTAACTTGCATTAGTAAATTTGGAATCAAATTCAATGAAATATCAGTATCTACCGAACGTTAATATGGACCACACACATTAATATGGAAGCCGTTGATAGTGCGGTAAGAACTAAGATTATTTCTATCACATTTTACATTCTGACCAAAGATCATCTTAAATATGGACTCTTGGACAAAAGAAATTGGCGACCCCCCCCCCCGTATTCAAAAGCGCAGACAAGTTACAACTTGAGCATTAAGCGAATTGACTTTGACTATAGTGTTCACTTATTTTAATTTCTTTAAACGTACCTTCCTCGATACAACCTACAAGCATTGAGTTCTCTGTAGCCGGCGGCTGAGCCTCTTCGGTCGCGGGGATAGAGGTTGAAAGCACGGCAGGAGTTGCAGGTGGTGACATCTCCTTCCTCTTTAGTTTAAAGCACTAGGATCTCAGGTGGCCGCGGGCCTTACAATAGGCGCAGGTCAAACTTTTGAAACTTTTTGATCATGAGGGATTCCTCGAAGATGAAGGGTTCGTTATTGGAGAAGAGATTTGTTCTTTGGGCTTCTTTTTCTTCGCCGGTGGCGGAAAGGATTGAGACTTCTTGGAGATTACTCCGTTAGCACTTGTGATTCTTTGTATCCTCTCGAGAAACTTGTTCAAGGTATTGACGTGCAGAGTTACGAATAGCTAGACTACCGCGGCGATGCCATTAATCAACAGCTGAATGCGTTTTTGCTAAGGTAGACGGAGGGGTTGCATGATTTTCCGAAATTTTACTTTCGAACTTCCAGTTTTTATATCGTCACATTAAAAGACACTTGACGACGAAAGCGCTTAGTTATGGTCTCCTTAAAAATCGACCGTGATTCAATAATCTCAATAGCCAGTTCAAATCAGTCTCTGGCCAATCTTTGCAATTTACTTGAGCTGCGAATAACTTGATATTATCAGTCACTCCGTGAATAAAAGCAATACGCTCGACCTTATGCAACCATCTTCGTTCTTGCCACCAGTAAAAGACAGGATCTGTAATGCCAACAAGGTTATGGCTTCTGCAGTAGGTACTGATGCAAGTGCTTGAGAAGCGACGTGGCTACCGGATTCAACGCCCATAGCCGAAGCATGAGTCGTGCCGAGAATCGACGGGTTGCTACCCGGTACGTCACGCGAGATACTGATTATTCACTGGGTGAAACCTTAGCGTCTGGGCCCGAATGTATTTTTTCATCTGCCATGAAACTCGTGAATATATATAGTTTGTTGCTGCACGAGGAATTGTATCTGCTGAGATATTTCACGCAATACGTGTGTGAGCCCGACAACAATATCCTCCCGAGCACGAGTATCACAACATTCATTATTAATATCTGAAGGAATTCGCGCGTCCTACGTATTATATTCACCGGCATGGTCGCAACGCGACAGCCCTTTTTGTATAGTTCATGCGTTGATGCAAGACTCTCAACGGTCCGCAGCAGAGAGACCGATAGCGATGAGCTTCTGTTGAAGCTCGCTAAAAGAGAGCTCTTCGATTGAAGCAAAAACTGTCCATGGTGATCAAGGCAATGGACGCGCGCTGAATGTTCCAGCACTAAATGGCGGCGATTACATGAACGTGTTACTGGGAAAATGGCGGTTAGTTGGCGAAACGCTCAAACCGGCTCAACCAGCTTCTCGCGTAATGCACTAGAACGACACGCACATGGAAACCGAGAACGGCAAAGGCTGAGGTAAAAAAAAATTTTTTTTTAATGGATCCAGTGGAACAAGGAATTGCAGTCCCTGGACAATTTATTTTTAACCTGTATAACACATACGAATTGAGATTTTTCTTATAAACAGAAGTAGTATGGTATTGGATCATAGAAAATTTAGGATCCAGAGTAAAACAATAGCAGAAAACTTTCAAAAGACACCCTTTGACAAGATTATAGGTTGTAACAGCTACATAAACTAACAGATTTTGCTGTAAGCAGCGACATGAGAATAACGAAGCAAACGCTGAAACACACTAACGCGCAACGTCTTAATCGGACGACACGTTAGCATGGATCCGAATCGAAAGGTATTTTTGGTTCGATTTTAATTCCGGTTTAATAAAATATCAAATAAATGTTCCAGTTTCGGTTTTTTTTTACCAGTAAAGAAAACCGAAACCACAAAAAAGGTTTTATAACAGTTTTTTTTCGGTTCTACTTACTCGCTCTATTCTATTTAGTCTTTAAATTTATTCTATTAAAAAGAGGGAGGGGGAGAGAAAGGGGAAAGAGAGAGCGTGTTCGCCCGATCAATCTAGAGAGCCTAGTCAACTGATCACGTGACTCTAAACAAAAATTACGTAAACATTATTTTAAGCACATTTATCTCGGTTCTTTCTTACAACTTATTTTATTCTTATAGATAGATCTCACTTATTACATAAAGTCTACATATATATTCTTGAATTTCATGACTTAGAATAAATTCTTGCAACATGTTGATAAAGAAGATCTAAATAAAAAAAATGCTAGTATCTTAAAAAAAAGTTTACATTAAATATGTCTCACGATTCCGCCAGATTTCTTATATCTTATGACTGGGATATTGGAGGTATTTGCATTTCGGTTGTTAAGAGAGCTGGCGACAGTGATATTAGATTGAACATTGATTTGGACGAAGGAACAGGCAGAACAAAAATTAAGAATAAAAATAAGGATTAAAAATTAAGAACCGAAAAAACCAAAAAATTTTACCAGTTCGGTTACGGTTTTAGTATTGTAAACTTTATAAAATTTGGGTACGGTTTCGCGGTTTACTAAAAAAAAAAAGGATTCTGAAATAATTTTCGGTTCCGATTTCAGAGTTCGGTTCCCTACTCCCTAGAATATATGGGACAATTATGCCCCTTAACCATGAATACAAGCGCGAAAAAAACTACGCATGTATATGCAAAGCGCGAGCGGAATCGAACCCGAATGCGCGTATTGTAAATCCAAGGACCGAGCCACCCGACGCCTCGACTAAAGTGAATCCCACTTCTGAAATCTTATACGGGTATAATAACAGGCTGTAAGACGGGGACGGGAATACAAATGAACCACCGATGCCTGGGATGATGAATCATTTTTTTTATTCCTCGGATACAAGCAGCCTCTCTCGCTGCTTGCTGCTTGTGACAGAATGTCCGCGTAGAAAGCACGTCTCGCTGGTAGTCCCTCGGGCGATTAATGACTAACGCTCTAGACATACCAAAGTAGCTCATTTCTTTAATCTGAACCGAAATACCGACAACTTTCCTATTAGCTATTTCGACCGCCATTTCGATCTAGTTGTTTGTAGTCCAATAAGCGCTAGTATTATTGATACAGGGTGTGGTTAGTAAGTCGAAAATGGAGGACCCATACGCTACTTTGGTGTATCTAAAGCTTTACCATTAGGTCTGTTCGCGTTGCTTGCACTTTTGGCACTCGGCATCTTTGTTTTCTCTCTTTTCAAGGCCAAATATATATCTATCTTATTTTAAGTGCACAAATATTTGGGGATTTCATGCAACGCGAACAGATCTAATGACGCATGCGAAACAGTAAACCGTGCGGTCGGATTATTCCCACATGTCCGAGAAAGCTAATCGTGATACGCAATGTGTAATGGCGGGTAAGGTGCAGCGTCACCAATGAAAGTAACAACAAAAAAATATAGTTCAGGTATTGATCATATAACTTTTTCTCTAAGGCGGAAACGTGAAAAGTAAAAATTTTTTTGTATGCATGTGTGTATGCGTGCATTCGTTTATGCAGCGGTTAGCGCAGTGAGTATCATTTAATCTTTGAACAACAAGGATAAAGTAATACTTCTGCGCTAATCGCTGCATAAACGAATGCACACTATATGTTCATACATGCATACGTAAAAATTTTAACTTTTCAAGCTTCCACTCTAGAGAAAAGTTGCATGATCGATACTCTGATCGAGAAGGGACTGGTCTTACAATATATGTTACTTTTAATATTTTTTATTTCATTTTGTAAACTCTATTGTATTATAATTCATTCTTGGAAGTCTCTCTTTCTCTTTTTCGGAGTTTCTTTAGTAGAACATTGACATTTTCAGGTACCTGGTCTGGTGGACATGGCGCCAGGCCGGGATCAAGGTGGAGGGGGAGGCGGTGGCGGTGGGGGAGGCGGCAAGGGCACCACATCGTTGTTTATTCTTTCGGAAGATAATTGGATACGGTCGAAGGTACGCGGTGTCATCGAGTGGCCGCCCTTCGAGTACGCCGTCCTGCTCACCATCATCGCCAATTGCGTGGTCCTCGCCCTCGAGGAGCACCTGCCGAGGCAGGATAAGACCGTACTCGCACAGTCGCTCGAGTCCTCCGAGATGTACTTCCTCGCGATCTTCTGCGTCGAGGCGAGCCTCAAAATTATTGCCCTCGGCTTCGTCCTCCACCGCGGCTCATACCTGCGCAACATCTGGAACATCATGGACTTCTTCGTCGTGGTGACCGGGTGAGAGTCAAATGCTTACTTTTATCAATAAAATCTCTCCCTTTGTCCACTTCCGTTTTTCCTTTTTCTACTCTTAATTCCTTTCTACCAGTAATCTTCAACATTTCATATGTTCTTGGAGAAAAAAGATTTCCTAAGATTGTGAATTCTTTTCATTAGGGTTGACAATTTCGCCTGGATCTGTAGATATACGGGTATCCGGATATCTGGAAAGTAATATTATCCGGATCTTATATACCCGAATATTGAAATGCAATACTCTGCCGATCCGGATCCGGATATCCGAATCCGTTCGGACCCAATCTTTCGAATCCATTATCTCATAAATCCGCGGTTTCTGATTAAATTACAGATTTCACTAGAGGAAAGTTGCTGTTATAGGTTTCCTAAAGCGACGCCTCTTTATTTCTCAGAAACTAACTATTGCACTTTATTAATACTAATAAAAACAGGATCTGTTTAGTTAATTAAAATTATATTAATATATATAAAATTATATTAAATTAAAATTAAAATTGTAGTAATATGTAAAAAAGTATATTTAACCTATATTAATATATAAGCCAAAATAAATATATAAAATTTTTCTCTCTCGCTTCCTTGCTCTCTGTTTCTCGGTCTCACTGTTTCTTGTCCTTTTTCATGCTCACCCTCCCCCCCTCTCTCATTTGCGTGCTCACTCTTTCGCTCTCTCATACATATATATACACACCCTGTATGCATAGAAAGAAATATTGAGAGATCCAAAATCCAAATAATGAACGGTTTAATCATTAAATTTTAACGGTTCGGATATCTAAACAATTGGAAACATTTGGATCCGAAAAATTCGCTTCAATCGGATATTTTATCTCGGATCTATTTCTATCTTGGATACCCGGATAAACGGATAATCGTCAATCCTACTTTTCATTGATACACTGGTGTTATGAAAGATCCTATAAATTAATATCATGATGTTTACATGAAATAATAAACGACTTTTCTATTCGAAATTAGCATTGCTTCTATTTGAAATCTACAGTAAAAATCGTTATTACATTCTCCTACATACATTTACATTACTCACACAAATATAGGACAGATCATTAATATTGATTATTCAAGAGAGCAAACATTGTTTCACCTATTAATTAATTTGCGGCTGAAGCGAGCGGCAAAATAAACCTCTTTCCCTAATTACATCCTTATGAGGAAACAAGATGTTGGAGGAATCAGTTTGACTAATATTGCTAAATGAGACACTTTATGTCTTACTGACGTAATTAGTAGTTTATGTCTAATATAGCAAAATTTTAATATCTACATGATAAAAAAGTGATTTCATTTTTTAAAAAATTTAATATGGTAATAAATTGATTTATTACCGTATATATCCTTTTATACATATAACAATGAGTTTATTAATAATTATTATGTAAGCGTTATCTCTAATCAAAAGCGTAGTTTTGATAGCGGTAATGTTGTTATTACGCAATCTTTTGGAAAATTTTGATATTTTGGCAACGTAGTCCGGAAACTGGTTTCCCCAGCTATAGGAATTAAGGAAACGCCGATCACCATACTCGTTGGTCAGATAGATTCTAGAGTAATCCTTGGATTAGGTCGATGACCGTGTTCGCCGAAACAAACGTGGAAGTCGACCTACGTATGCTACGTTCCTTCAGGGTCCTCAGACCGCTAAAGCTGGTTTCGAAAATTCCAAGTGAGTCAGTCAGAGTTCTGCAAAAGAGCAGCAGCAACTAACAAATACCTAAAGAAAAAAAATTCCTGCCAGTAATAAGTCGAGCTAACAAGTCGAGCAAATGACCAGCCTTCTGTTCCTCTTTTAACCTCCTGTCCTTTTATATTGTGTCTCCTGGCAATCTGTGTGCGGTTCTCAATAGTTACAAACAATAGTTTTCATGTCTTTTCGGCGTCGAAACTTAGCTCGATCCCTTCAGTTTTAGCCGATTCCGCTGCTTTAGTTATTCCTGATATGACGTCTAGTTCTGGCAAGCAAAAGCAGCATCGACTTGAACTATACATATATCTATATATATTATTAGTTCCCGTCCTTCTAGCCTCCTGCGTTAGTTTTTTAATTGCGTAATATAACGTCATATGTACGTTTTTATTAACCTTCGCTTAGAGGCTATGGGTGTCTTAGATCAGTTGATAAAGTTAGAGTTAGTGATGCCTCTCAGTTAGCTCTCATTTGATAATTGAGATATATATATATGTTGAATAATATATATAATATAATCTACATTTCTATAAATTTTTATATGAATTTTCTTTGTGCGTTTACGCTGTGTATCTTGTCTATTTACATAGATCTATTCTATCACTCAAAAGTTTTAGCACGTCTTATATTTTTTTTAACAAATCCATTTTTTAAATATAAAATTATAATATATATATTTAAAAAATAATTTAAATCGGACTCTCAAACTTTAAAATAATAAATAACAATAAAATTAAAGCTAATGAGAGTCAGCGTGGGAATAGGTGCGCATAAATTTTAATTCATATAAAATACTTCAAATTGAAAGATGATGTGCAAGTTTATTATGAACTCTTGAATGTTTCCACTCTCTTTGGAGTCAGCAAGTTATACATAATCAACGATCAATGTTGGTTAGACGATCATGAATAAATCGTCTAACCAACATTGATCGTTGATTATGTATAACTTGCTGAGGATGACTCCAAAGAGAGTAGAAACGTTCAAGAGTTCATAATAAAATTGCACATCATCTTTCAATTTAAAGTATTTTATATGAATTAATACTTATGCGCACCTATTCCCGCGCTGACTCTCATTAGCCTTTTAATTTTATTGTTATTTATTAAAATATATATTCTCTTATTTTCGAGCATAGAAGATTCAATAAAATCACAAAAAGTTGAAAAATAATTATAAACAAAATTATAAGTAAATTCTTAAAAAAAAAAAATAACATGTATATGAATTTCAAATTTTGCGCTAGACGCTGATAAATATTTGGATATCATGATGACTAATAATAGGAGAATGGAAACAGTATATTCTCGCAGACTGGGCGCCAGATTGAATACAAATCTTTGATTAGGATACTTGAAGAACTTATTGACAGAATGCCAAAAGTTTGGCTTTCGTTATCAAAATTCAAGGAGATTAAGAATGAAGAACATAAAATGGATGAACTGATGGAAAAGTTCAATAAAAAAGAACAGGCCTATTGTTAAATTTGTAGTGTCAAATTTAACTTGATTTAAACTGCGGTTCCTCAATATTGTCGCTATTTTATACTAATACGAATGAATTATACAATTAAAAAATTTATTTAAAGGAGGGAGTATAAAAATGGCCAAAATTGGCCCTGAATGGACACCTTTAAAACCTATGCAGTTGTCATTTTGGAAGTTCGTACATTCATGAAAAAATGCTTATAATTAGACGAATCATATTGTGTAAAAAAATCATACAATTCCATTTAAAAAAGTGGAGGTGACCTTTATATCTTTTTGACGCCTCCAACTAGAAAAGAAACAACATGACCAAAATACGTCCTGCTTGAAACCGTTACACTTTCGTTTGAAACATTTTTTGTATCATTAAAAATAAGCGAAATATTCGAGATGTTCGATTAAATGGACCACACTTTTATATATATATATAAATCTTCCTAGTATTCTTATAGTATTTCATGATTCAACTTGTGTTAGATGTAAACAAACCATTAATTTTGAAATCCATCGTTTATTAGAAACAAAATGAATTTCTTTGCAGAGCGTTTAAACGACCTATTTTATTATTTTTGGAAGGTTTCCCAAGCTTTCCTGGATAAATAAGCATTTTTTCATGAATGTACGGACTTCCAAAATGACAACTGCATAGGTTTTAAAGGTGTCCATTCAGAGTCAATTTTGGCCATTTTTACACTCCCTTCTTTTTGCTGACAGATAAAGAATTATATTTTAGAAAATATATAACAATAATAATCACTAAATATAATAAAAACAACTGTAGTTATGTTTTCTTGCAACAATATAGAATATAGATAAAGTAACCATAGCTTTTCTTATATTTCTACACATTTATAATAACTCTAATTCGTTCTGTATATGTAGAAAAATGAATACGTAGAGAGCAATTTAAGTACCGTTTAATCACCAATTTTAGGTTGGAATTAACCATTATTTCCTTTAAGTGTTAAGAAACAATTTGAATCGTAGGAAGAATCTATTTACTACTCAGTAGCTCAACATTTCGAAAGTGCTTTCTTTTCGGAACAAAGCAATGACGATTTGGGAATCAATCGTCTCCAATTCCGTATGCCGAGGATGCGCACTCACAAACAGGTGGAAAAAAGAAAACACACACACGCAGACATATGTGATGACCCACAGAGTGCCTATATTTAGCGATTAGCTATCTTTAGCTGCAGTTGCGCTAAATAATAGAGAAGACTATACATTGTTAAATGGATACGTGTCCTAGAGCAGATAACGTGTTCAGCGGCGAATCCGTTAAAATTCGTTTCCTTAGAAATTCACCACAGACCGAATCGTTGCTTTGCGAGTGTCCATAATTCTAGAAGATGGTCATCCTATTCCAATTTATATTGCTAGGATTAATAATTTTCGCTTCTATCAATTTTATCACAAGCTAGTTTAGTTTTCATTTACCATTTTCATCATTAGCATTATTAACAATGGAGGTTTTCCATTTATAGATTAGAAATTAATTGCTGAATTAATTAATCGCAGAAATTAATTGATATTTTAATGGAAAAGCATTTGAAAAGTCGTAAGAGATAGATAAATATCTGAGGCTAAAGCATTTAGCTATTTCAGAAATCTACTTTTTTTATTTTGTAATCTTTATTACTCTCTTATGTAATCTATCTTCAAAATTGAAATAAATGTTTTTTGTCGATTCTATTTTCAAAATTAGAAAGACTCGAGTATTGAAAGTTGCTGAAACACTTCTAATATTTAATGGCTTCATAATAACGACATTTGAAATGATGTTTTTAGTATTAGATTTCATTTTGATATTTTTAAAGTTTAGAATTAAATTATTTTTTTCTAAACACTTGGTCCTATAACCGGAAAACCTTTGTTATGTCGGAATAGAAAAAATATAGAGTTTTTCGAATTCGTTGTCTAGCAGTGTGTGGAACAAATTTAACACATGCTCATCTGTTTTTTATGGATTGATGTGAATCTTTTCGAAAAGCTTCTGCTATTGGCAAGAGTCAGAAATAGATAAGTAGCGGTCGATGACCGTACGGTGAACTGATATCTTCGAGAAACGAGCGCCGAGTTTAGGTGTGATTATAGCCACTATCACTAGCTTGTCTCAGCGTTTTACATTCTCCTAGACCTAGATATACTGTATTTTACATAGTCTACGTATATACATAGAATGTACGTATATACATACATAGATATGTTTACATGCCTATACATCGATCCTATTCCTCCGCAGCGCCCTTTTCAATAGAACATTGCCCTATCTTATCAGACATTTATTTTTTAGTATAGCGTTAAATTTAATAAAATAGCGGAAAATATATTCCCTCCAGCACATCTTAAAAATTCAAAATCACGATGTTATTAATTATTTTTACAATTTAAAGTTGTGATTATATACCGAGGTACTTTAATAATGTTTCTTTAAAAATATTGTATTAAAATATATTAATACAGATACAGATTATAATTGATTTCTTTTAAATTGATATTTATATTATATTATAACAAATAAAGGAAAAAGCTCGGAAAACTATGTGAATTTGATATTTGCTTAACCGCAATACAGAAATGAAGTTGTCGCATCCTTTTTTTAAAGTCTCTCTTTTAAACTTCAAACATTTTTTAAATTAATTACTTTTTTGTTAAATTATATGATTCATTTAGGATTCATCACGGACAGATATTCTGTTATAGATAACTATTTATATCCATTTTGCGCTCTCAAAGTTTAATTTACCGGAGTTCTTTGATCTTCTACATACAAAAATTCTATCTGATCGTCCTGATAGCATTATCTCTCCAGGCTAGAAAAAACGCTAGTTAACCATCTAGTGGACGTAGTATAAGTACTTAAGAGTAGAGTGAGTATTAGTGTAATAGAGTAGTAAGTAGTAAAGTGTGGCGGGGTGTGTGTGTTTTTGGGGCAGGATCATCACGTCGCAAGGCAAAGACCTGGATATGGATCTGCGCACGTTGCGTGCGATACGCGTGTTGCGACCGCTCAAACTTGTCTCCGGCATACCGAGTGAGTAGCGCATTAGTACAAATTGGAAAGCGATCGATTTTTTGGAACTCGAAGCGGTTCTGCTCGAGAAAATCCAAAGAAGTCTCGCGTCTGGGGAAGCCCCGTTGTAAACGAAATCCCCGGCGAGATCGTCGTAAATAACGCGCAAAATAGATGCTCACACCTTAACAATAGATATTTGCATTTTAAGCTTAACATAAAAAATTGTTTTTGAAGTTCGTTATGTAAATGAATCTTACATCTGTTTTGAATGAATAATTATACTCGATCATTAAATTATTGTTGAGTATGCGCGCATGCGGTGTAGATAAAGGTGTGAGTTCGGACTAAAAGTACATTTAGCGCTGAATGTTTCATTTCATTAGATATTCTACTGCTATTACGTATGCACGTTTGAATAAGAAAGTATTAATTTAAAAAATGTTTTAAATGTGACATGTCTTTTTTAGATGAATACATTTTGGCGCTAAACGTGCAAAAATAATACGATCTCGTTGCTCGAGAAAATTTACTTTATGATGAATAATGAATGTTTACGATTCGAAACTTCTTCGTGTCTGAGATTTGGATACCTCGAAGATCGAATACGATCCGCCGCAATACTTATTTCTCAAATAGTGTCTAATAGATTTAACAAGGAGTGAATTAACAGATATATGAAGTCAAGTAGATCAAAGTTAGTCACATTTAATCGTAAATATATTTATCTATATTGCTCGTAGGATGCTTTCTGTTGAATTGTTCGTTTTATGTTAGTAGTATTGTTCGGATAGGTACTACTCAGAACTTGATGTTGTATTTAGATGTGGCGGAGGTATTCTAATCCTTAGACGCAGAATCATTTCGAGTAGTATTAAAGGCATATTTTTTAAGAATTGAATTATTTCAAGTCATTATGAAGTCTGAAATAATTTTTATGAAAATATTACAAAACCTAGACAACTTTTTTAACTTGTAAATTGTTATTACAAATGCCGTCAAACAAATAAAGAAAGAATATTATCCTATATATTTGTTACTAGAAGTTGATCTTGTGGTTTTCATCAAATATTAATTTTGTTTATATTTAAAAAGTTATGTATAATTTCTCGGACAACGATATCAGCGATAATGCACGGAAATATTGAGGATAGAATTCTACACCGATTTTGTAAAAATAGTGGTTAGGCTTACTTACTCCTCGGCGATTTTTTTGCGAATAGGTCTTCAGGTGGTGCTCAAGTCTATCATTAAGGCGATGGCGCCGCTTCTGCAGATCGGCTTGCTGGTACTCTTCGCCATCGTGATATTCGCCATTATCGGCCTCGAGTTTTATTCGGGAACCCTGCATAAAACGTGTTACAGTATAAAGGACATCAGTGAGTATACTCAGTCAACCTTCTAGAAATTTTGCCCAACATTACTGCTTATAATATTACTTGTCTTATTTTATATACCCAATTTACCACACAAAGGATTGAAAGAAAAATCTACGGAAATCTTGAAGTGTATGAAAATATAATTTGCGTTTCTCTCCGATTACTTAGAAAATATATACATATACGCTTAAATTCTTTTTCAGGCTATCCTGAGACGTTATAATATATATGAAATGTTTTACAATATTGAACGTTGCAGGTGTAATCATAAAAGAGGGCGAGATGCCGAGTCCGTGTAGCGCAGACAACAAAAATGATGCCCCGCCCGGGTCCCACGTGTGCGACGCGAACGTCTCGACGTGCATGGATCACTGGGAGGGACCAAACTCGGGCATCACTAGCTTCGATAACATCGGATTCGCCATGCTCACTGTCTTCCAGTGTATCACTATGGAGGGCTGGACTGCCATATTGTACTGGGTAAAGCAAGAAATATATTCTTCAGTGTTAATGTTTTTTCTCTCGTTCTCTTTCTATTTGTTACCGTATTTCTCTATTTCTCTCTTTGCCTCTCTTTTTCTCGCTCGATTTTTCCCGTTTCTGTTAAAATTTCACCCCCTCGTTATCGCGCACGATTTGTCCTCGCAGAATCGTTACGCAAAAGGTATGATAGCGAACATTCTCAAATCTCTGTGTTCTCGTAGAGTGTTGTTGCCCAGTTTCGTCAATCCTCTATTAACCGCTTCGCGATTTGAATATCACATTTTTGTACTAAATTATAATTCTCTCCCTCATTAATTTACCCTCTTTTAGAAGACAGAAGATATTAACTATTTTAACTGTTTCGGTACATGTACTTTCTTCCATATATCCGCTTTTAATTGTCTCTTCCTTTTTCGCAATTTCCGGTGTCCTTATACATATATGTTCGCCTCTTTTCTGTGTCCGGCTTTAGCCGAATTTGTCGGCTTTCGGGTTAAAGAATGCCTTGCGGAAACAGCTAACACTGACGTATATGTTCACCTTGCTCAGTATAACATTGTCAGTTCCAGCCCTCTTTTTCGATGTTTCAATATTCGATGTTAATTGTACTTTTTATTGCGTCTGACTCTTTCGTGATAGATAAATTTTGTTATTTTCCTTAAAATTATGTAAAAGTAACTTTCAATCTTTTAATGCTATAATATGAATTAAATATGTATAATATGAGTTAAAAGGAAAAGAATTATTAGTAGAATATTTTTTTGTTGATCACGAAAGGGTTAATGTTCAGTCAATGGATCACGGAGGATTTTACAATATTTTATTGTTATATTTCATTGTAAATAATAGATTATTTCGAAACCCTTCAACGTAATTCCATCGTCTGTAACATAATCGTATATTTATTTACTGAAATCTCGGAAAAATTTCGATTGCCTCATCGATTTTTGTAATATAGGGTAGCCCGCGGTAAAATGTCAGTCGGAAGAAAATGCCATGCTTCGAAAAAAATATATATATATTTAGAGATTTTTTATAAAAACAGATCTAGTATAGTTTTTAAACTATAAATTTCGACATATCTTAGTTTAACACGGTGTCTGCTTTGTGAATATTTTATTGTATATATCACAGAATAATTTTCTCATAATATCACAAGCGTGATAATAATAAAATATTATATCATATGATTAAATGAGACTACATTCCCATGGATAGTGTGTTAAACAACGGATTTTTTATTTTACATTATTATCTTTTATGGTTATTCAAAATTGTATATTGATGGATTTGTTTATTATATGATTGTTTTTATAAGCGTTTAAAAAAATTTTAATTGGTGACTACCATCGCAGTCAACGTGTTAAATATTTGAAAACCCGTAGATTCTTCTTCAAGATAGCGAGTAGCGAATAGAGAGATGTAGCGAGTAGTCCAAATCAGTTTCTCTCGTTATAAAAAAATGGCATGTTTCTCTCGTCCTATTCTTTTTCCATGGGTTACCACCAGCGATACTGAAGTTTTATAAAGCCGATGTTGTCTTGCATAAATGTGATCGACGAATTTTCAATCTATGATGTTTTTTTAGATCAGATCTTCCCTTCATGTGGGATACAATTTTTCTTTGTGAAGGGAAATGAATATTATCGAATAACAACAAATAAATTCGAGCTCTCACACTCGGACGATCACATTTATCACATCATGTTTGATACAGCGAGATTACAGTGCCAGTGCCTCTGTGTTGCATATAACTTTTGCTGTTAATTAATATACCTTCGGCTATGTAACCGGTACATATGTGTATATACGCGACATTACTGTCTTCATATCGATTCCGATCGAATTTGCAGACAAATGACGCTATTGGCAGCACGTACAACTGGATTTACTTTATACCATTGATCGTCCTTGGATCATTCTTCATGCTGAACTTAGTTCTTGGTGTCTTGAGCGGGTGAGTATGTGTCCCTCCTGACAACATTCCGCGGTCTTTCCTCCCAGCGACAATTTTTTTTGGAGCGACGATCGCGTCTCCCATTCGGCAAGATCGCGAGGTCCATTATTTCAGAATGATTTTCTTTCCTCGTCAGGGAGTTTTCTAATGAAAGAGCGCGCGTCGAACGGCGGGCTGCTTATCGGAAAGCGAAGAGCAAACGACTCTTTACCACTGCGTTCAGTTCCTACTTAAAATGGATCACTCAAGCAGGTCTTCAATTAACAGACGTTGCCTGACATTAGTGTACAATAAACTGTATTCTTTTAGTGTATTCAGCATTGCCGTGAGATTAGAAGTATAAAATAAATTAAATATATCTAGTCAGAAATGATAATGGAATCGATATCGAATCGACGTCGAAAACATCAAATCGACGTCGAATCGACATCAATTCGATGTCGATTCCATTATAATTTCTGATTGGGATATTAGTTTGTAGTAAAATTAGTTAATAAATATCTTAAATATTATTTATCTTTTTTATTAAAAAAATTTTTTTAGCGTTCCTTCATTTGTAAATTACAGCTGATTTAATATCTCTAATTATATGATACTTGTTATTAATATTGTACATATAAGATTATATATGCCTTTTAATGTGTGAAAAAAAATAGGAATTTTTTAGTGCTAAACACGCGGTGAGAATACGATGTAAATTATATATTCATAGAAATGTGAATTTCTAGACCTATTTAATTAACATTAGATATTTTAAATTTTGATTAAAAGAAATTAAAGTATAAGCAACAGTAGTGATTAATGAATCCATCATAATCTCGTGTATAGTACATGGCTCCCATGCGTAAGCTAGTTTGAAGAATTCTACGAAGGAATAAACAAAAAAAATTTCTTTTTTAATGCTCTCAATGGCATTTCCCCTAAATGAGTAATAATGTTGATTTATTAAACAAAGTATCGCTAGAATATTAACGGCAGAATGCCCGAAAATCCTCTGGTAAACTTAGCTTTCATGCTCCTGAGTAAGCTGCCATATTATCTGTATCACGCTTGTAGAGAGTTTGCGAAGGAGAGAGAAAAGGTGGAGAACCGGCAGTCCTTCCTGAAGTTGCGAAGACAGCAGCAGCTTGAGCGCGAATTGAATTGTTACCTCAATTGGATCTGCAAAGCAGGTTAGAATAATTGCCGACAAAACACGTGGATTAAAAAAGATTAAACGGAATTCATTTCGCAAACACTGAAAAAACCTCATTGTTAAAAAAATTTATATATTATAAAACAAATAATTGTTATTATAAAATAAATAATCACATATAAAATAATGCCCAAAAAATAATATAATACTGAAAACTGACAGAAGAAAATAATAATTATTTGTAATAAATATACTTTATATTTTATAATCTCTCTGTAATTGTGAAAATTAAATAATAAATTTCTTACTTTTCTGTTAATGCATGGATACCTGAGTGCTGATATCGAATTTTAAATAATAAAAATTTTTATATTGTTTGAATTTCATTACAACGCCTCAAAAACTATGTCCTTCAAATGACAAAGAATAGTTTTGTACAAATTTTATCTCATTTTCACTTTTAATAAGAACTTTGCGATAGTGAAAGTTGAAAAATTATGCATTGACAAAAAGGTTAAATATGTATATTCTTTTATCGATCTATTTTAATTCACTTATTTTGTGAACAGTGTGTCTGCAGAAGTTACAGCTCACTGCGTATGCTAGACTCTCCACGCGTTGCTTTTTCATGTATAAAAATATAATGCATGTAATACCTATCAATTACTGCTAATACGAAATATTTACTTTTCAGAAGAGGTGATACTCGCCGAAGAGAGGACCACGGAAGAGGAGAAAATGCACATATTAGAAGGTCCATATAATGCAACATATTTCGATATCATGAATATTTATTTCCGTAAGGTTGAAAAGATTTGCGAAGCAAACTGTATTCCGAAACATGCTCGTATACACATTTATATAGAGTGCTCTATGTACTTAGAATGCACTTGCACTCGCATTTCTTTCGACACAGTCAAATTTCAATTTTTAAAATTTTTTCTTTGTTAGCAATGCATTGAATGCTGTATTTTTAAACAAGACATTCCTATATTTTGTAATTTTAATTAATTTATTAATAGCCGGATTAACAATCAATGTAATTTTTTACTTCTTACAAGTAACAAGTCATTTTTGCATATGTTACATGTAAATTTTATAGAAATAATTTAATAATACAAATTATGCGCACATTAAATCACAAAATAAAAAACATCGCAACATATAATTACTGCAATTTGTGATTCTTTCATAATTTTATCAATACTCTCGAAATCATACATGATATTTACATATTTTCAATAAAAGATTATTTAGACCATAATTTATGAAGATTTACATAGCTTAATCTACCTGTTTATTTTGCGCAGCAAGAAGAAGAGCAGCGGCAAAGAAAAGAAAGTTGAAAAATCTCGGCAAGAGCAAGAGCACCGATACAGAGGAGGAGGAAGGTGAAGACGGCGAGGACGATGGTGAGTTGTATTTGGTCAACTTGGTGTCCAGTTGTGCCGAGTATTCTCTTCTTCTTGTTCACTTCTTTTACATTTCGAGTTGATGATTCTTCTTCAGAATATTCGAACGAACTTGAGTTCAAGTAGTAAGGATTTACGTGATTTTTTAGTAGTCAGAATCTATGTTATATCAACCAACGATTTCCTCTGGAAGCGTGAAGTATTTAAAAAACAAACTCAATGAAATTTAGAAAAAAACAAAATTTACGAAAATTTAAATTGTTATATCATGGATACTTTTGCGAGTTATAAAATTAATTGAGAAATAAATTTCGTGCTAGTGAGTACAAAACCTTTGCGATTTTAATGTTCATATTAGTGCGAAGGAAATCGTTGATTCGAGATTTGGCCCGCCTTTTCTCTCGTTCTAAAATTTCTCTCCATTTATATATTGGCACGTTAGCGTATTTTCACGTTTATTGACATATTTGTTAATACTTTATGGGTTCATGCTTGATTCATCATTTGTATCGAAAGGAAAAGAAAAGAATGACGCTGAAAATTACCTTCCTCTAATTTTTGCCGATGAATATTCTAAACACACGCTATCAGATGCTCCTCTTGTTTCAGTGCCTAAGAAAAAGCTCAAAGGTAACTACAACCGTGAATGCCACGACTTTTCGCAAAGAGCTACGTAAAAATAAGGCTGTATTTGTAATTTTACGTAATGTTTTATTTTTGTATTTTTATTTAAAAGAATTTTTTGTTGGTAATACACACACGTACAAGTAATATCGTGCGTACACGATCACAAGTACATGATTAGACGATGGGCTATTGCTTGGTAAATGACTTACTTGTCTATTCGCGTATGCAGAATGTATTAATTATCGTGCTCTTTTTCACTTAAACATGTAAGAATTGAATCTTAATCTTTCAATATTAATTAGTTTAATAAATAATATAGACCTAGATAATTTTATTCAGCCTAATTCGGGCTAAAGATATTCTTTCAGCGCATATATCATTTAAAATGTTTGAATAACTGATAATTACGTTAACATAAGCTTTTAACAAACGAGAATAATTAAAAATTAATTAAATATTTGAATATCTTTTATCAAGAAAATGTTACTAAGAGTTGAAGTGCTTATTTGTAACAGTTATGTAATATTAATACATACAAAATTATGCATTGCTCTCTGCGTAAAAGTGTTATAAACTGGCAAAGCCACTTTACACATTCAGACGAATGACCGTCGCATAGCTAGATTATGTATTATTTATCGTATTAAAATCAAAGCCTGTGATTACTCGTGGTAGAGGATGTAATTATTGCATTCTATATAATTACTCGGATCGACTTGCTGCTGACACTGTGGCTGATATGTATCACTTAATATCACGCGGACCTTGCTCGAGAGACAGATCGGAGAACTCGGGAGCTAATTCTTTTTTAGTTTTTTAGACATTGTTTTTATATATTGATGTCACGATATATAAATATTAGATTTTCTTTGGATCCGGAAACATTCGCACGAGCATTGTTCTAAATTTTCTTTCAGACAAACGAATCAGAAAATATATGTTACATAATAAATACATACACGGTGGTCCACTTAAATCATAAATATTTCGCTTATTTTTGATGATACAAAAAAATGTTTCAAACGAAAGTGGAACGGTTTCGAGGAAGACGTATTTTGGTTATGTTGTTTTTTTCTAGGTGGAGGCGTCAAAAAGATATGAAGGTCACCTCCACTTTTTTAAATGGAATTGTATAATTTTTTTTATACAATATGATTCTTCTAATTATTCTGCATATAAAAGTATTAAGGTAGTAATATAAAAAAACCAATAATTTACGAGATATTTTACATTTTATTCTGGCACATATTGACATAAAATGTTAAATAACTCGTAAACTATATTAACTTTTTGATAATAGTACCATACTTTTATGAACAGAATAATGAGATGAATCAGTTAGTATAAAGAAAACATATCGTTGCTTTAAAAAAATATGTATACAAAATGAATAATTTTTTAAATAAGTAACTATGGCAGGTATTCATAGTCAGATCTTATATACAAGACCGTCTTAAGTACGGTCTTAAGAAGTCACGAACCAATCAAAGGGCTGCATAGCGTCTTAAAACATTACTTAAAACGGCCTTGAAATAAGAATCGACTATGAATCGACTATGACCGGCCTATGTGTTTCCTTTTCACCAACTGATTTATCTTATTATTCTGTTCGTAAAAGTATTAAGGTACGATTATCAAAAAGTTAATAGTTTACGAGTTATTTAACATTTTATGTCAATATGTGCCAGAATAAAATGTAAAGTATCTCAACTATTGATTTTGTGACATTACCACCTTAATATGCGGAATAATTTTGAGGAATCATATTGTGTAAAAAAAATCATGTAATTCCATTTAAAAAAGTGGAGGTAATCTTCATATCTTTTTGATGCCTCCACCTAAAAAAAAAACCAACATAACCAAAATACGTCCCCCTCGAAACCCTTCCACTTTCATATTTGAAACATTTTTTCATATCATCAAAAATAAGCGAGATATTTCAGATGGTCGATTTAAGTGGACCACTCTGTATACGGGATGTCCCGTAAGTTTTTGCCAAGTGCTTTTGTGTAGATAGAGCTGACTAAACTGAATCGAAAAGTCCTCTATCATTTTACAATTTTCGCAATAGTTAACGAGATATTAATTACTACAAATTGCTGAATATTAATCTTCAATAATTTTTTACTCAAATACTATCAACTTTACAGAAAAACTGCAAGAGACAATCATTAATCATTTATTTTCTTCTCATAGAACACTAAGAATTTTTTCAGAATTTTTTATCAACTTTTTAGTACTGCATTTTTTATTTTTACCAACATGAGAAAATACGGTATTAAAAAATTTTGAAAAAATTCTCAAAACTTTATGAGAAGAAAATAAATAATTTTTGTCTCTCGCTGTTTTTCTGTAAAGTTGCTAGTATTCTAGTAAAAATTTTTGAAAGCCTATATTCAGCGATTTTTAATAATTAATATCTCATTAACCATTGCAAAAATTGCAAAATGGTAAAGGACTTTTCGACTCAGTTTAGTCTATCGCATTATCTACATTATTCGCTCTATCTACACAAAAGCACTTGGCAAAAACTTACGAGACATACTGTATATATAATATATATTGATAAATAATTGATAATATAACGTTATATATTAAGTGCCAATGTTTTCAGCGGAAATATTTCTACACTGTTTAGGTGTACCATGTGGTGGTGGAATACTGTGATTAATGTTTTTATTATTCACTTATACGGTTATAATTTTAGTTAGTTAAAGCTAACAGAACAGTAGAATACTTAGTATTGTCAAACGAGAAACTGAATCTCCTGAGTAGTGTACGAATCCTGTCCTATAGAGTTTGATAGATAGGCTAATTTCAGCCTGTCGTTCACACATAGTAATAATAGTAATAAATAGCCACAATATATCCGCATCGCCATATAATAGTAATTGCTTGGTAGAATAATTTAGTATAGAACTTTATGTGTTTATTTTTATATCTATTTTTTGTTGAATCAGAAATAAATAGAATTTTCTAATTCTTTCAATTGATACATAATTTTAGAAGTATTTGATTTCTTTTTCTGACCGTGAAGACTCCAAAACACAAAATGCATAAACATAGCATAAGGCTATCTAGACCAGTGAGCATATTATGTAAGTCAGTATGACAACCTTATAGTGGATACTCATTGGTCCAGATGGTTTTATGCTATGCTATACTTATATATTTTGTGTAGGGATCCCCAATATACGGTTTATCCTCAAAACTTCTACAAGAATGTCATTATGCGTAATGTTCAAAGACTTCAAAAGACTTTAACATAGACTATCATACTTTAGATCATATAATTTGGATTTTTTATTTATATTATAGTCGCAGAAATAGCTTAGCAAGTAGTACGAAACGTGAAGATGTAGACATAGTGTAAAAAAATTCTAAAGTAAAAGGAAAACTATGTAATTTACATCAAAATAAAAATACATACAATATTCAAGTTGACAATCGACCGGTCTGTAAAATATGTTTTAAATGTTTTATTAATTTTATGCTGAAGAAGTATTTTATACTTTGTAGGGTTCTCGAGAGCCTCCTACTTTAAGTCGAAGGTGAAGAAGCAGGGCACGTGCCTACAGTTCTGGCGAGCTGAGAAAAGGTTCAGGTTTTGGATACGTAATTCCGTCAAGTCGCAACAGTTCTATTGGTTCGTCATTGTTCTTGTGTTCTTTAACACCGTCTGCGTGGCCGTCGAGCATTACAATCAGCCAAAATGGCTCACCGATTTCCTCTGTAAGTTTTTCAAAATTTTAATTTTATCATTCTATTAATCATTCTATTTAATGTAAAAATACATATCACACCTAGTATGTAAAAATTTGATTTAGAAAATTAGCTTTATAAAAATATCCTTATATTAAAGAATATTTTATCAGTCAACCCTGGTGAAAATTCTTCTCAATTTTTATACGAATTGGAACATTTTTCAGAAATATTCTGAAAATCCTATAATTTTTAAAAAGTATTTAAAAATTTTTTAGATTTTATAACATTTCATCAGAAATTATATTTACAAAAAATCTTAAAAATCTTACGATATTTCATGATTAACACATATGAACATTTCTGAGAATAGATGTAGATTTTCTGAGAAATGTGTGTTCCAGTTCGTATAAAAAATGTGAGAGAGTTATAAAATTATAGAGAAATTCTGAAAAATTAAATGAAAAATTCTGAGAAAAATTTTCACCTGAAAACCCATTAAGATTTGAAGGATTTCAGCGTAACGAAAACTTATTGTGTCTAAAAGTTCTTCAAAAACTAAAGAGTCCCAGTTTAACTCAATTTTTTGTTATTTGCAGATTTCGCAGAGTTTGTGTTCCTGGGCCTCTTCATGATGGAGATGTTCATAAAAGTCTACGCGCTCGGTCCTCGCGCATACTTCGAATCGAGCTTTAATCGCTTCGACTGCATCGTCATCTCGGCCTCGATCTTCGAGGTGATCTGGTCCGAGTTGAAGTCTGGCTCTTTCGGCCTCTCCGTCCTACGTGCTCTTAGACTCCTGAGAATTTTTAAGGTCACCAAATACTGGAAGAGCCTGAGGAACCTCGTGATATCGCTGCTAAGTTCGATGCGCAGCATCGTTTCCCTTCTCTTCCTACTCTTCCTCTTCATCCTCATATTCGCGCTGCTCGGTATGCAGCTATTCGGTGGCCAATTCAACTTCGACGATGGCACGCCGCCCACTAACTTTAACACCTTTCCCATCGCACTACTCACTGTCTTCCAAGTGAGTACAATCAATTGTTATTACGATTTATATTTGTTGTTGTAAATGAATTATAATCGATCTTTTAACAAATATAACCTAAAATTTTATTACATTATATACACTTTAGTTGTTCCAAGTGTCTAAAAGATATAGCGAGGAAAGTATTCGTTTCATAGTCTCGCTAGCCTTTGAAAGATGCCGATACATGTAATTCGTATACTTTATAATATAAATAAACATTAAATAGATACATGATGAAAGTATAGTTTTTGTATACTTTAAATGCAGTAGAAATTGCGTATCTAATAATAAATGTATATTGTTCAATGAATGATAAAAAATTAGATGTTTCTTGAACTAAAAAATATTCGATTAATGTAATAATTGATAATGATTATAATACAGATCCTGACTGGAGAAGACTGGAACGAAGTGATGTACAAGGGTATCGAGTCGCAGGGCATGGCCCATTCGCTTTACTTCATCGTGTTGGTGCTCTTTGGCAACTACACCCTGCTGAACGTCTTCTTGGCTATCGCCGTTGACAATCTCGCGAACGCGCAAGAACTAAGCGCCGCCGAGGAGGAGCAGCAGGAGGAGGATAAGGAAAAACAGTTGCAGGAACTCGAGAAGGAGATCGAGTCGCTGCAGAGACCCGCGGACGCACCGAGGGTGGAAATCTGCCCTCCAAGTCCAACGCAGAATTTGTAAGTTTTTTTCTTTTTGCCATATTTGTAAAAATTCTTGTCTTTTCTTGACGTTTCGTACTTGTAGAAAATAATATTTTTTTAAATAAGATTTTTGTGTGAGGTAGAATAGAAAATTTCACAGAATCTTTGATATATAAATGTTGTGACTTTGTGCATATTTTAATTGCAAAAACTGTTTTAACAAAGTGATTATTAATTATTCATAATAAAATAAAGTTAATAGTTATTAATCATTATTCGTAATTATTTAATGAAAAATTAATAATTACGTAATTACGTAGATTAAAAAATGTAAAACGCAATATTGACGGAGAGCTACAAAGTGGAGAACGACGTCTCGTCTTTTCCAGCAGAGACGGAAGAATTGAAACCCAGACGTCCGAAGAGAGGAGGCAGGATGAAGACGACACGGGACCAAAACCAATGCTGCCATACTCCTCCATGTTTATACTGTCCCCTACGAATCCGTAAGTGTTGATGATGATGATGGTGATGATGATAATAATAATAATAATCGATCGCTCGGAAATTCTTCCCAAGAATATTAAACACCATAATAAATCACAATGTTGTTAAATAAAATCGGATGATACACATAAATTAAAAAGCGCAGCAGACACCTGATCTACTTTTATCTATCGTATTAATTGTCTATTATTTATTTTGATATTTTCTAATGTATTTGAATATTTTGTGTTGCATACATTATTTTTTTATTTTAAGAACGAGATTGTTATTTTCGTCGAAATAATGGAATAACCTATTTGCAGCATAAGAAGAGGTGCCCATTGGGTCGTGAACCTTCGATACTTCGACTTCTTCATAATGGTGGTGATATCGTTGTCGAGTATTGCGCTGGCCGCTGAGGATCCTGTTTCAGAGAATGCGCCAAGAAACAAAATCCTCAACTACTTCGATTACGCGTTTACCGGCGTCTTTACCGTCGAAATGGTGCTGAAAATCATCGATCTTGGTATCATACTGCACCCGGGCTCATACCTGCGCGAGTTCTGGAACATTATGGATGCGGTCGTAGTGATATGTGCTATGGTGTCAATCGCCTTTGACATACTCGGTAGTTCCTCTACGGCCAGTCAGAACCTTTCGACCATTAAATCGCTACGAGTGCTGCGAGTACTCAGGCCGCTTAAGACAATAAAGCGCGTGCCGAAGCTGAAGGCGGTGTTCGACTGCGTGGTGAACAGTCTCAAGAATGTCATTAACATTCTCATAGTGTACATATTATTTCAATTCATATTCGCCGTAATTGCGGTGCAGTTGTTCAACGGTAAATTCTTCCACTGCACCGACGAGAGCAAGTATACGCAAGAGGATTGCAAGTAAGTATACTATTTGAGTATATTATTCGATCTTCTTGCTTCTACTTATCAACAGAAGCATTTCGGAAAGAATACAATATATTAGTGCATTTAATAATAATTAAAGCTAGAACATTTAATTTTGATAAGTAAGCAGATAAATATATCTTTAATAGAGCAAATGAATCTAAAACTAAAAAAAAATTCTTCGTTTCATACTTATTCTCAAATTATATTTTTAAGTGGTGTCAGTAGAAATGGAGACTAATTTTGTTTTTGCGACAGTGGTCATTTCTTCGTTTTCGAGGAGGGTAATATGCTACCGGAGCTCAAGCCACGGAAGTGGCAATCCCAGTCCTTTCACTATGACAACGTGATGGTGGCTATGCTAACGTTGTTCGCTGTCCAGACCGGCGAAGGCTGGCCACAGATCTTGCAAAACTCGATGGCGGCCACATACGAGGACCAGGGCCCTATCCAGAACTTTCGTATCGAAATGTCCATTTTCTACATCGTCTATTTCATCGTCTTTCCATTTTTCTTCGTCAACATCTTCGTGGCCTTGATTATCATCACGTTCCAGGAGCAGGGAGAAGCTGAACTGCAGGACGGTGAAATCGATAAAAATCAGGTGATTCTTCATACCTATTTTTTCATTTGAATTAATTTTACGTGTGCTTCATTAGCTATCTTCATGAAAAGGATAAATTTTAAAAAATATGAAGTCATTCTCCATGCGTCATTAAAATTTTAGTTTTTGTTTTAAGTGAAAAATGTATTAATATATTGAATTATTATATACATAAATTAAATAATTGTTTCTATATATAAACAATTTAAATATATAAATATTCTTTCATATATATCAATTTTTGTTGGCTCTTTATGTTTTAATTTTTTCTTTATTTTAATTTTTATCTTCGTCACATTTTAGACAATATATGTGCTACATGACATTTTTTTTAGCACAGACATTAATGCATACATTGACAATTCCGTGTTAATCTTTCAGAAATCATGTATAGACTTTACAATACAAGCTCGTCCGCTCGAAAGGTATATGCCGAAGGAGCGGAATAGCGTTAAGTACAAAATCTGGAGGATAGTTGTATCTACGCCATTCGAATATTTTATCATGATACTCATCGTATTGAACACAATATTGCTTATGATGAAGGTAAGTGTCACGATCTCTCTCTTGCATTGCAATTTCTTTAGAGAGATTCATTAATCAGATTATCAGTTTTTTCCCCGATTAGGAAACGTGAATAACGAAAAAAATTAAGTGTTTTGAAATACGAACCTTTTTATGCAAGTAATCGAAAACAAAACTTATACGTATCAAGATTTGTAAAAATTTTTTCGAGCATAATAAAAGCAACTCAAAAGGGTTTTTATAAACTTTGTGACCAGTTTTGTTTTCGATTTCTCATATTATGGTTCGATATCAAAAGAGGCATAAGTGCAAATTATTATTCTTTTTTTAAAATGCATAGACAAGAGAAAGTGTTCTTTATTTTCTTTATTTTAAATCAGGACAAAATATTCCTCCAGTCAAAGAAAAATATTTTTCTTAACGATGTATATCAGGTTTAATCTCTATAAAGTGACTAAAATTGGAAATTTATAAAGTAAATACTGATTTACAACACATTTAGCAATATAATTTTATAGTTTAAGTAAAAATTTTCTTATTTTATCTCTTAATTAATTTTTTGGAAACTTATTTACTTTATATTAAAATAATTTTTAATTTAGATTCTAAATCGCTGCCAAAGTTTTTGTATTACTTTTAAATACAATATAGAAAAATCTGTAATTTCATTATAATTTTTCTATTTTGTTAAAAAAATACATGTAATACATCCTTAAGAAGGAAATAATTTATTTGACATATTTTTTTATTTAAGAATAAGCTTATGCCTTAATTCTGGTATTGCGATGTATCGCTCGTTTATCTTTGCGTCCTGCGATACTTACCGTTCCCAGTTTAATATCCGCGCATTCTCTTGACATAAGACCCATTAGGTCTATCGGCAACTTTAACCAATCGACAAACAGTCTCGTCTTTTGTTAATATAACGAAGATACGCGAGATATATCATAAACGAGAATATGTCGCGTCCAAGTAGAGTACGTAATATCGAAAGACTGTACCATATCTATATATCACGTTATATACTTACGAGGACATTGTTGTTCTTGCCTGCTGACCTTTTCTGATCGTTTTCTCTGTATAACTGTATCACCCTTGTATTTTATCAATACGTGTACACAGCTATGTCGAACTTCATTTTATCCCGTTTCCCGAAACTCTTTCAGCAAAATTTCTTCCTCTCGAATGGCATAATGTTTGTTTTGTTTCGATTTTTCCTTTTTTTTCAGAATTCTAAAAATATTTTGTTTTTCTAATAATTAACGAACGACTATATACAGTATTATATCTTTTAACAATAATTATTATGCGATGAACTTAGAGTTTTATTGTTATTTCACGTATTTAATTAGAACCTTACAATACTTGATGAATTATTATTTTACAAATATTAATTAATAATTTCTTAATATTTAAAATATTAAATAATTTTTTATAGATTATTTGTTATTAAAATGTATTAAAGAGTTGTGATTATTCTAATATTTCAATGGGAATTACAGTGCATTTAAAGAAATAGAATTAGTAGATAACTTTTTAATAAATTTTGTATATTGTGTTAATTTTTACATTTTTATTTTTATTTACAGCAATTCTTACAGTGTAGATTTTATTTACTTGCAATATTTATTCCCTTATCTCTTAATATCTTGAAGATTAATAAAAAAAAAAAATTTCGTTTTGTTTTGCTTTAATTTCGCCGTATATTCTTATATTGTTTTTTTTTCTTTACCTCAGAATCGATTTCTGTTTGATCCTTCATTCCAATTGCATGGTTACCGCTGTGTCCTCGTCTTCGAAGTAGACTTATTCGGGAACGTGCGAAGAGGGAACACGTTTTCGTGTATCAGTTGTAATTCCTACAACATGTATAGACATCAACACAACGTGCGTTCGGCTCATGCATTCATCTTGCTAATACCATGTTTTAACTGGTAACGGGGTGAAGCATTGCACCTCAACTCGTCCTGGCTTGATACTGATTTAGAAAATTAAGGTGCCAAAAGATTGCGCCTCTTTGGCGTCTATAAGCCCTGCACGTGAGAGTCCACGTGTTGTTCTGAAAAGCACCCTTGATCCCTGCTCGTAAGCTATCTGATTCTTTCTTTTCAATGTCTCTCTCGGAAAATGTAATAATAATAATTTTTTAAAAACTTATTAAATTGAAAATTTAATGTATAGTTAAAATGGTAAATTAATTATATATATTTTTTTGTATACTGAAAATCAAGTAATTAAATTTTTTGAATAAAAGTAATTATATTATTAACAGCAGTTGAGTTCATTTATAATAATTTTTATAATATAAAGAAAGTAATATATTTATTAATTTTTAATAACAAAAATAATTGTAACTTTTAAAAAATTTTACAATGATTGAATAACTGTTAAGAAACTAAAATTTTTTTCTTAATTTAATAATTACCAATAGTTATAAAAAAATTTTTATATTGTCCTATTTATATTGTTTATTTCATTTAATAACAATGGTTGAATAGATTTGAATGTTAACTCTGAGCTATAAATCAAGAATTTTTATTCTTTGAATTTTATTAATTGTCCAACTGTTAATAATTAGATATTATTGTCACAAATTACTCTATCTTTTTTGCGAGATTTTTCTTTAATTTGATTCACTCTCAAATTCTATTAATCCACTGTTATTAGAATAAAACAAATGTAAATTCATGAGAGAGAATTAATCGGATTCGTGCACGCTTTCAGTCTTGAGCCGAATCCTGTATTCTATTGTGAGTTTCTTCGTTTGCTTTCCAATTCCTATGACTTGTACAGTTGAACGCACGAGATGAATATCTATCCTCATTTCTCTGTCTCTCTTAAACGAGATCACAGCCTGAGCCTGAAATTAGAACCACCGAATTAGAAACATTCAGAGACACATACATATTAGGTTAATTCGAATCCATACGCAACGCCCGATTATATGATTTGTGATCGAACTTGTTTGCCTGAAAAAAACACAGAATGTGTTCAGATTACTTGTACACGCACTGCACCTGGTCTTGAGAGCACATATCAAATGAAACACCATGTGTTCACGTTGCTCAGCACATATGCACACAAACGAGGAGACAGTAATATTTTGTTCTTGTGAGAACGCTCTGCATATTTTTGAAATTTAAAAAAAAAATCGTGAAAAAAAAGTAATATTAAATTAGTAAAAGCAAAATTATGTACATAATATTTTATGTGAAAATGTGTTGTCCCTTGTGATTGGAATAATTAATGGATATTTTGTGATTTATAGTTAAAAGGAGTTTTTACCTCTACAGCCCGATTGCACCAACGTTACTTTGACTTTAAGCAAGGCTTAAAACTCTCTCTGTCTCTGTCTCTCTTTCGCTTTAAAACGAGACAGAGAGAATTTTAAGTCTTGCTTAAAGTCAAAATAACGTTGGTGCAACCGGGTCTAAATAATGTTTTACTTTGAAGTCACAAAATTAATCATTTTATTCTCTCTCAGATATAATAATTAATAATATATAACGCATTAATAATATATTTACTTATTATTATAATAAGTAAGATATAATAATTAATAATATATAACGCATTAATAATATATTTACTTATTGCTACATGAAATATAATCTAATGCAAATTATCCAGTTCGGTATTTAGATTATAATTAATTGTCTTCTCGTTCGACACATTGGTGGTTGATACGATGTATGTATATATGTATGTATACATATAGGGTGTCCACCTGTACTTCTCACACATGTGCAAAACTGCGTGTCGCATGCTGGCTGTCGCCAAAATAGATTGATCAAACTAACAGCTGAACGAAATAGCAACAACATTAGATATATCTGCTGAATGTGTTTTACAGTGACAAAAAACACACTGCACGGGACGTTCGCACGTTTTACCCTCTCCTTTTTCCTCATACAGAAAAGAAAGATTGCAGAGGTATAAGCACTCCGAAAAGTGAAGTTTCGTAATTCCTGACGATCCCTTCGTTAATTGAACTGCACTCTTTTCGTTCCGGAAATCCATTCACTTTAAGTGTCTTTGTTCGATTGTATTTTACGTTTTCTTCGATCATTTTTCTCTGTTTTTCTCTCTCTTTCCTTCTTTTTTGTCAGTCTTTATCAGTTCTGCAACTAGTTTCTTTAGACAATGATTCGTATATGCCCAACCTACGGTCCACAACTCCATGAAAAACAATGACAGAAAGAGGATTTATTTCTTTACAATTGATTTAATGATAAACTTAAATTTCACTTAACACTTGCATCAATATCAAATGTTTCATGTTTTAGTTTTAACTTATAATTAGATTTTATTTTTATCTCACAAGTAAAATGTATTGTTTAGATTTGTGTATATTTAACTCTGATCGATATTTGCTCCAAAATTTCCTTAACTGGTATTTAAGGGTCTAGTGCATTTTAAATTGATGTATCTTTGCTTAAGGTTAATGTAATTGAACGGTTTTTTTCATTTGGAGGTTAAAATCTAAGAAATAAGATTATGTAACTTAAAATTATGTAAGGTTTGCTATAAACAATTTTTTGCAACGTACTTGAAAAAAATATCTGAATCCATTGGACCCTTCTTCGTCGCTGTAATTTTTAAAATATGTAACACGGAAAAAATCTTGTCTTGAAACTTTTTGTGTTACATTAAACAATTTTTTTCTTGTCATTGGGTCCGACAGAGTCCATCATTCAGAAAATTCCCCATATACAATCCATTGATCCAGAAGATCAGTCGATCATTAGTTATCTTAGTACACGCTTGATATCTCTTATAGTTCAATTAAATAGATACATATACAACGCGAAGTGCAGATTACGGTACTAATTAATCACGTACACATAATTAACATATGCACCACACTCGTCGAAAGACGAATTGATATCGCAGGAATGTAAGAGAACAAACGTTTCATTTAAATTTTAATATACACGCATACCGATTAGGCTTGTACACGTATAAGTTTCGACGACGTTAAGAAAATGTCTCCCTCCCTACATTCTACGAATATATAGGCGTACATCACTACGTTTTTACATATACGTAATACTTTTCATGTATCTCTCGCACCTTATCTTACACTTCGTACGTATGTACGACTAAACTGTGTACCAATTCGTGACACCCAAAAGCTGACACATAACATGACTCGCGAATCATTCTCGAGCAGAACGCGATTTATTTAAAATTTTATTATACACTTTTTTATTCTTACCTCGACAAACTTTATTTTGACATTATTTGACATTATTCTGTATTTGATGCAATTTCTACAGCGCTATGCGAATAAAACGGCATGAAGAGTAATAATACTTCAGCAAGATTAATTCTGTGTAAAAGATTACAGATCATATAATTTCTTTTATATGTATAATCACGTTTTATAGAAAATTATTTGAGTTTTTAAACACTAATTGTAAATTGATTCTATTGACCGTGGTTGGAAATTTTTAACCAACAGGAGAAATTACTAAATAAATTTTACTTAATATATTTAACGGTTTCACAATGTACTTGATTCTGTTTTTAAGACAATAGTTAATCTTGCTGGTGCGGTTACCCCGTTTTACAATATATATTGTGCAGCACAGAATGTTCATGTATCGGTGCACAGAATTTCATAAAAAAAAAAAAAGGAAAGAGCCACTTCTTTCTTCCTCACCCATGATGGTCAGAGGAAGGAAAAAGGTTATGCCGAAAGAAATCAAAGAAAAAAAGCGAGATACGCGATTAAAGCTTGTACGTACGTACGTATGTCTGTCTGTCCGGCTGTGTGTTTGTCAGTGTATGCATTGCAGTTCCATCGGCAAAGCGATTCGTACAAGAACACGCTGAAGTACATGAACATGTGCTTCACGGGGATGTTCACTGTCGAGTGCGTACTGAAGATCGCAGCATTCGGCGTGAAGGTAGGCTTCATATACCGCCAAACATCCCTCTCTCATCGAACTCAATATATTCTAAGTAAAGCGAGATTTAATTCGAGACTCTCGCTAAGTCGAGTGAAAGGTGGCTCTTCGTGATTGTTCCCCAAAATTGGAAGTCTGAAGAAATCCAGGAATCTTTCGCTGCTGTCGAAAGAATTGACATATTATCGAGATAATTAATAAACATTGAAATAATTTGGCGTTGAATATATTTTGTGTACGTAACGTTAATTTATCAATAAAAATCAGAAAAAATTAGAAAAAATTCTTAAAATGATTCAAAGTGATAAAATTGCTGTAACAGTTTTAGTAACAATGGAAGGAACATCACGAGAGAGTTACTTTTTGCGTCGCCCGGTAAGTGCCGCTTGTTAGAAGATAATTAGAAGTGGTTCTTCGTGAGTACCGATGTAGCAATATGGACTTATCGGAACACTTTCGGTACTCCGGAGACATCCGTATATATATTCTATCTCACGCGTGTATACTTCTACAAGTATATAGAATATACTATTTAGTGAACTTTCTGTGCGCAGGGCTGAACAAGCGCTAGATGCTGTCGGAGTAGTTGTAGCGTTTCCATTTCTCGATATACCTTCGTACGAATATATAGATATGTATCTCGATAGAACTAGAATGGTATTTTTCGTGCTCCTCTGTGCAAGGATTTAGCTGCAAGATCTAGATAGAAATTTTTTTTTTTTCATTACTCATACTTGTTCTGTATTTGGGATAGTATCAATGAAGTCTACAAGTACTTTAGTATGCAAAAAATGCTCAGCTCTGTACACGTGATCGAGCTTCAGGACAATCTGGGAAGACTCAAGATTAAAATATACTACACAATCTTTTTTATTTTTACTTCCAAATTTGAATTTCTTTCTTGAAAATTCGGTAGATTGGAAAAATACAATATTTTCATCAGCTTTCAAATCATCTGCTTTTCGACTATATTATTCATTTAATGAATTTTATACTTTTTTGTTCACTGTGGCTATTACTGTGAAACTTTGACACTTTGTACTTAATATAAAGATCATAGTTGATCAGATACAATCAATATAATTGAATCAGAGTTGTATCATTTCATTTTCCAGAAAAAAAAAGTTTAGATATGAAATATAATATATTTATTACTCATATACGTTAAATACTACAATCAAAGATGATGAAAATCTTCTCAGGTTTCCTACATTCATAATTACACTGAACAGTAATAACGGGATTAAATCATTAATTGTAAATTTAGTATTGCATTTTTTATTTCTGTTAATTTTTATGTTTTTATGATATTAACTCTTTTTTTATCCCGTTATCACAATAAGCTAATTACACAGACTTTATATAAAATACTGAAAAAAATTCAAACTACAATCGAATATTTGCAAAATATAGATATCTATCGATTGTTCACACATATACACGCGCGCACACATGCACACACAAATATTCGATCGTAATATTAAATGTTCAAATGAGTCTCCGCGACAATGTAATATTTCGTATTATTTTCATTACAGTTACGTTTTGTTGTATCTGATAAAAGATGTGTAATCAAGCTTATAATATAGTATTCATAAATGCGCTCTTAGAATTTATAATTTAACATACACTAACATAGAAAGTTAACAGTTACACTTACAAATACACAGACATAAAGATTCATACATCATACACCTTCATATGGCACTCACGAATACTTCAACATGACGAATTGAAAACATAAATCTTACATCGGATTATTTTCAGTTTTGTCTTTCTTGCTTTTTCTGTCTATTTCTTCTTAATTCTCTCTCTCTCTCTCTCTCTCTCTCTCTGTATCTTTTTTATTCTTCTCTCTTTCTTGTATTTTGTTTCTTTCGCTTGTTCGATTTAATTTTTCGAAATATTTTCAAAATAAAAATGACGGAACGAGTGGAAAATTAATCCAAGAGGAAGTTTCGAAAGCTAAGGAAAAAAGTGTACATAAGGAAAGCGCTGCTTTTTGATATCCTCTGCATGTCTTGCCCGTTTTGTCTGTATCCGCATGTAATCACTTGCACGGTCTGATATGTTTTTGATCCTCGCATGCATACATCACGATTACTATGATTGCGATTATGGGTTGGGAATGACAATAATGATGATGACAATAATAACAACTAAAGATAAAAATGATGATGATGACGACAATGATGATGATGATGATGATGAAGATAATGATGACAATGATGATGATGACAATGACAATAAGGACAATGAATTATGATGATTACATACAACTAAAGTCGAGAAGTCGCGAAAGCGCTTTTCTCTGCTATTCGCCGCACGCATGTTATTGTGTTGTGGGAATAAGCATTATCTTCCGTCTCACACATGCACACACTCGGTACACACGGAATTGAACATCGTATTCTACATACACAGACTGATCGAGATTTACTTATCACATATACGATGAAGAATCTTCCTGTGAGAGATTGGTTAGATTTGCTTGGTAACTTGGTAGGGAGAAGAGATGTCTTCTTATTAAAAAAGAAAATAAAAGATCGAATTTAATTATTTTAATAAGAAATAATTTTATATGACATTATATAATAAATAATTGCATTAAAGCAATTTTTTAACAGAATAATGTATTAAAAATGTGTATTTGTAATATTTGAATACTTTGATATATACAGGGTGTTAGTTAAGTATGTTCCCAAACTCAACAGAGCGATTCTTTGGTTTATTTTAAGTAAAAAAGTCCATATAAACATATGTCCTAAACGACTTAGTTTCCGAAATACAGGATAGGTCGAGCAGGAACTCAACCTTGGCCTCCTAGATCACCAGACTTAAATCCTTTGGATTATTTCCTTTGGGGGCATCTGAAATCATTTATACCACCCCAATTGAGAATGAGAATGATTTGAGGAATCGAATAGTTGCTTCATGCGAGGCAATACGTAACACACCTGGTATCTTTGAGCGTGTACGTCAATCTTTGAGAAAAAGGTTCGATGTATGGATGTATCATGGCGCGCAAGGTGGACATTTTCAACAATTCATCTAATTATTTTATTTCGTCAGAAGAACTGAAGCCTGTTTTTGTTTTTCTGTTTTTGACCAGTTTTTGACTAGTTCAAGTTGTATTTCTTTCAAATAAACAAATTATTACTACACGTTTAAATTTTTTTATTTCGGAAACTAAGCCGTTTAGGACACATGTTTATATGAACTTTTTTACTTGAAATAAACCAAAGAATCGTTCTGTTGAGTTTGGGAACATACTTAACTAACACCCTGTATATAGTTTCTATATTTTATTTATAGTATATAATGCAGTGAAATATATTATAATACACAATACTAAGACAATACAACTTGACAGTTTACAAGATAGCAATTAAAGTTGTAATCGGAAAATTTATCTTTCTCCATATTACAAAGTTTTATATATATTTTTGAAATTTATAATTAAAATATAAATTTTTAACGGGAGTCTTAAAGAAAGGTTAAAAAATAAAAATCATAATTTAAAAAATAACAGTAGAATGACAATAATAATGAGCAAATATATTTCTCAATTAAGTAACATTTATATCTTCAATGAAAAAATCTCTTCTTTAATTCAGTAACAATGTTCAATTCGGACGGGAAAAATAGATGAAGGGAGCGATCGAAAACAGAAATTAATTAAAAAAGGACGAAGGAATATACATATATAAATATATATGCAGGGCGGACAAAGGAATATCAGAGTCTGGGTTGTGTGTTACGTCTGTGTGTTGGGTATATTTTGTAGTATCACGAAGCGCCGGCAGTTTTATTGGACTTCTTGACCATCGTGAACTTGGTCGTCACTCTCCTTTTCCTCATTGAGTGCATCCTTAAACTCGTCGCCTTCGGATGCAAGGTATAAACAAGCCTTTTAAATCGCTCTAATTCCATCTCACTCTCACTCGACTCACACTGCAAATTCTTACCACTTGTAACTCCATCGAGACTGACATCATTCACCGGTCATCATTAATTGTGTGATGTTACCGGTCGGAGGATACTGAAGAAAGTGGGGATCCCAAAAACTGGCGAGAGGAACAGAAGGGAACACATCGAGACATCGCGAAACTGTTTATCACGAAAATAAAAAGTACCTTTAAAGTTTATACTTAAGTAGACTTATCAAGATTTAAAGTAAACTTGTATGTGTAATATGAAATTCTTACAGTATTTTGAATGGGCATTCAAAAGATAGCAGTTACCAGAAAATAGGACTATACTTAAAAAAGTTATCGTTGAATTTTTTTAAATATTGTAGGATATGTAGTAGATATCAGATTGTTTTAACATTAATTAATATAAAAGATTATTATATAATTATTGTTAAATGACTTTAATATTAAATAAAGAATTTGAATTAAGCTTGAAACGGACAAGATATAAAAATCTTGCTTTCATTGATTAATTATAAAAAGATTATTTTTTCAACAAAATTTTTATACAACAATTATTAAAAAATAATATTGTATTTATACAACTTTGTTGAGAAAACGTGTATGAAAATCGAAAAATGAGTCGTTTGATTTGAATTTTACAGAAAAAATTTATAAAAATTAGCTAATCCAATATTGTTTTTTTACATTTTGCATAATTTGCATAATGTAATCGACGCAACGGTTTCTATTTTCTGGCGAAAGTAGAAAAAAGTGAATATATCAAGTTCGCGTGTCTCTATCTCTCTCACTCTCTCTAGTTTGCTTGCTATTACTGGCATGCTCCTGTAGATACTTCTCTAGAAGAGATCCCGTCACTTCAGCTGATCGTCGATCACCAAAGCGTGTGATTTGGGTAAACGCTTTAAAATTTTTGTGAACAGATGTCTTCGTCTTCGTGGATTTGAAATTTTGTAAACAAATAAATTCTACTTGTTTACTGAACATCGATGGATATGATTCCATTGTAATTGCATAAAAATTAAGAATGAAATCTGCTTCTTACAATAAAAAACATAAAAAATATTTTTATTGATTATCTAATTCGTTAAAATCAAGTATAACAATATTAAATATTAAAATACAAATTTTTCTACTTTTAAAAATAAACGGTCACTAATTTTTATAATTACTTAGTAATTATTTTTTCTTTCTTCTCTTATTCCACGACTAAGAGATCTGATCAATGATCATTACAATATTCAAAAGCACTGTTCAGAAAGGCACACGTTACATTACAGAATTTCAACTTAATAAGTATTACATTCATAATAGGAGTGCTCACGAACACGGACACGCACACAACACATGTATACAGGCAACTTTTACACACAAAATAGCGTACATTCACAAAAGAAGCAGATTATAGTATACTTTTCTTGAAGTCGGACTCGTAGTTTCTTCTTTAGTAGTAGTCATACGCAAACAATCTCACAAACACTAGAACTACACCCAAGTTCGTTCAATAGAGTACTGAAACATGTCAATGATTAGTTCGCGCGAATTGCTTGTTATTGATATCTATTATTATATAGGTCAAGATATAAGAAGGGATAAGAAGATTATAAAAGAATGGAAAAAGCAACAATCATTTAACGATGAAGTATCAGTTCGCGTTTCTTTTATTCCTAAACTATTGTTTTATTAGTTTCTAAGCAATTACAGTTACGACTAATTGGAATGAGCAACAGTAAGATAAGCAATAATCTTGAACGTGTATATATGTATATATACAATATATAATATATATTTATATTTATATTTATAATCGTGATACTTATGAAAGATATCTGTGACAATTGTGGCCACTTTGGACGTTCAGTTCTCGTTTGACAATCGTTTGTCGTCATTTTGTAAAAATGGAAAAAATTGAATATCGTAATTAAATTCTTGTGCATTTGAAAGGCAATACGTCTACGCAAATTAAAGCCGAGTTGGACGCTGTTTACGGGGACTCTGCCCCATCATTTGCCACCGTGAAAGGATGGGCAGCTGAATTTAAATGTGGTCGTACCAGCTTAGCTGATGATGAGCGTTCTGGAAGGCCAACAACTGCAACCACCACCGATAACATCGAAGAAATTCATCAAATGATAATGGACAACCGTCGAGTTAAGATTAGGGAGATAGCAGAGGCTGTTGGCATATCAAAAGAACGTGTTTGTCATATATTGACTGAAGAATTAGGCATGCGTAAGTTAACCGCGCGTTGGGTGCCGCGCTTGCTCACTCTGGATCAAAAACGCATTCGAATGAACATTTCTAAGGCTCTGTTTAAGGGAAATGAGTCGGATTTTTTGCGTCGATTAATAACAGTTGATGAAACTTGGGTCCACCACTTCACTCCTGAAACGAAAGAACAATCAAAACAATGGACTGCGAAGGGGGAACCCGCTCCGAAGAAAGCGAAGACGGTTTTATCGGCGGGAAAGGTAATGGCGACTGTTTTTTGGGACAGTCATGGAATTATGTTGATCGACTATCTTGAAAAAGGTAAAACAATAACAGGGACGTACTACGCATCATTGCTTGACAAGCTGAAGGCAGAAATTGAGAAAAAACGACCGCATTTGAAAAAGAAGAATGTGCTGTTCCATCAAGATAACGCACCGTCTCACACTTCGGCGGTCGCTATGGCAAAAATTCACGAATTGCGGTTCGAATTAATTGACTATCCACCGTATTCACCAGATCTGGCCCCCAGTGACTTTTTTGTTTCCTAGGCTCAAAGTTTGGCTCGGAGGACAGAAATTTTCATCGAACGAGGAGGATCGCATCCGTAGACGCCTATTTTGCAAAGCAAGACGCTCAGTATTATTTGAATGGATTAAAGGGGTGGGAGCATTGCTGGAAAAAATGTATCGACTTAAAAGGCTATGTGACTTTGGACTATGTGGAAAAATAAAATTGAATTTGACCGAAAAATTACTTATTTCTATGCTAGGCTCAAAACTTTTCAGACGATTCTCGTATATTATATATATATATATTTATATACTATAATACATATAGTTTTGTTCTAAAAATTATTTTGATGTTTTATCAAAATATTTCTTAAATATATGTACATACGTATTATATATGCATATATTTAAGAAATATTTTGATTAAACATACAAAAATGATTTTTGAACAAAATTATATTTGAATATATCTTCTATATATATTTTTGTTTACATTCGGAGCTATACAAGTGTTTACAAACGGAAGTATAAACTTTAGTTAGAGCAATACTTCTTAAATTTAAAATTTTGTATTAAAAGTTACTAGAGAACTGAAAATTAGGAAACATTATCCACTAACTATTATATGTATATTCATTTTTAATTGCGTATTAAATCTTCCTCTTTTGCAGTTCTTATTTATTCTTGTTTTTCATGGTGTCTTGACTTTCATGTACAGAGTATACCGATAATTAAAGTTTTGATTTGCATTTGTTGCGATAGAAAATGTGTCAGAGCTGTTTAGCGAGCTTCGGGGTAGTAGAAATAAATACTCAATCGGGGGATGATAAGATCATTTTGCTAATCAATTATTTTAATTGTTTCCGCGAGCAGAACTTCTTCAAGGATGCTTGGAACACCTTCGATTTCATCACTGTGATCGGCAGCATCGTGGACGCCCTCGTGATCGAGTTCGGGGTACGTAGAGCACCGGAACGTAGCGGAAAAAAAAGTATAAGTGTGTTAATTGCGTTTTAGTTACTAAAACCCGTAATAGAAATCTTCCAGGTATATATACATGTAATCGGGAATCTTCCAGGAAACCCGAGGCTAGGCTGTGATTACGATAGTTGCTTGCTCTGATGAAAAGTTATTCCGACGAAGTCGCGCCAAATGTCAGAATTGATCTTTTATGTTGATGCAAATGAATGATGATTCTATCATAAACAAATAAGATGAGAAGCTACATTTTGATGTATTTGATGTACGACAGATATAATACTAATTGTGTAAAATTTATATAAAGAAAACATTATTATAATGAATGTTTAATTACTTTCAAAATTGCACAATTAATATATGTTGAGACTTGATGATTGAAGATTAAAAGTTTAAAATTGAAGATTTATGAATGCAAAGAACTTCAAATTATATATATAATATATTTTTTATTTAAAAGAAATATATTATAATATTATTTATCATAAGATTTTAGGTCGAGACTTTTTATTTATGTCGTATCACCGCGACTGTTTCAACATGCTAGATTAATTCTCATGTTCGAGACGAATTTGTTTGGAATGTCACTTTTTGTCGGAACATGCATCTATAATAGTGGCCCTTAATCATCGCGGCAGTGTTGCTTGATGTATACCTTTGTCTTTCGTTTAACCCTTTTGCTGCTTACTTAGATTCGCCGTGCAAAGTCCGTGTGACGAACTAGCAGGTAAATTACGACAACCGAAGTACCTCGAACACCTTTGTATGTATTACCTTTTAGCTTCGTGCTGCATTCATACGCTACATACATCACACTGTACATCGCTACATTTGCACAATATACATTTACGCAATTATATAGTGAAACAGCTACATGTACATAAACAGGAACATGTCCCCGATCCTTTCTATTCTTTATATTAGAACATTTCTTTCTACATATGATTGATATCCTGTGACTTAGATTAACCAATGTCAGTTGTAGTTTGGAGGTAGAAAAGGAGCTATACTATATAGAGTATTAATACTGTATAGAGTAATACTGTATAGAGTATTGCTCGAAATATTTCTTCCATTCACATAGTGACGTTGATTATTTCGGTTCCACTGATGTAGCGATTACAATTTAGCCGATAATATATGTAGGATATGAATAATATTAATTTTGCCAAATCTCACAAGGGGGAGGGCCAAATAGTGTATCCACGAATTAAAATTTATTTAACTTTAAATATGTTTTAGTACTTACACTTCACTAATCCGAGCAATTATGATATAACGGAATATTTAAATATTTGTAAGAAATTTGCATCGAAAGGTTTTCGTGTGCTTTTTTTAATGTAAATTTTTACGGAATGTGCATTTAATGAATGATTGGGCAATGCATATAACAGAAGAAATGTTATTTTATAACTGTAATATTATTTAAATATATATTTTAACACCTGCCACCATACGAATAATGTCGATTCGTAATACAATTTAATTAAAAATTCCTAAATCATCCTTTTTTTGCATCCTTTCGCGATACAAATCGCAAACACTTGAATATTGCTTGAATATGCCACTTGTCCATGAATTAGTGATGATATGTACTCAAATATATTTAAAGGTGAAATTTGTGTGTACATTACTTTCTCCCCTTGTTAGAGAAATATTCAATATAAGTATGTGTCAAAATCTGTATATATTTGCTGCCTGCGCTTGTAAAATATCTTTTTATAAAGATATGTCTTTATTAGAAGTACAGGTAAGAAAATAGCTAGAATTATCGTAAAGTGAGTATTGGTCCTGATATTAAAGTGAACTGCTTATGAAGTTACTCATCGCCAGTGTTGATTGCCAGTCATTAGTATTTCTGTTCTCATTGTAATTACCAAAAGTTGAACAATCAGAAGCTCAATAATGGGGATGGAATAATCTCGCAATCTCACATATTTCTGTAATAGGACCGATCGAGCGTGCCCAGTGGTGGCCAGCTAGGCGAAAAGAAGGTATAAAATTACTATCCAGTTTTTATGTTGACAACATAAGTTGGAAGAGGTTACGACATTGCAAGTACAGAACTAATATTAAATACCGCAACTCTCTAAATTTAGTTTCTGTGTAGAAATCCGAAATAAGTCTTTCTTTATAACTCCTGTTTCCGAAAAGCTGTAATTATTATTTCAGATATAGATATCTTTATATCTTATCGTTTTCGAATATCTATATTAGCAACAATTATGGTAAAATGGTGATGATGATCAATATGATTTCATTTGTAATTATTTGCAAGCAAAAAGAGGGAACTGGATTTCGAAACTAGTATTTTTTCGAGGCCTTTGCTAAGTCATTTTTAGATTAAGTCTCTTTTGTCCCGTTTATTTATCCTCTGCATGTACTTTTCAGAATACATAAACTATTCGTACATTACACTAACAGTCTCGAACATTTTACAACACTGATACTACGAATTCAAACAGTTATCACACTGTAGTTACATTACCTAACAATATTTTAAAGGCATATGGATGCGGTGTTTAATCTATCTCGATTTCAACTTATTAATTGTCTTTGTAACGTAACAATCGGGGACATGATTCAATCGTTACAGCAAAAGGGTTAATGAAATTTAAATATGTAATTGCATTGCAATTCAGTAGTTAAAATAGTTCGATTATTACAGTAAAACATGATTCTTTATTAAAATAATTCATAAAACTCGAGAATTATCAATACATTGATTTGGAATTAGTTTACTTAAATTTGTACTGATAAAAAAAATTAATAAAATAAGTAAATCATGAACGCATCAATTTAGAATTAGTCTATTTAAATTTATATTCATATATGAATTAAATATATAAAGATTATAGGTTAAATCCGTGTAGAAATAAAAGACTTTTATAATAAAAAAAGAAGGAAACACTACTAGAACTTAATCTACTGAAATATACAACAGAAATACAATTAGTTACTTGATAAAAATATATCCTGTTTATTTCTACAATAATACTAATGATTAGCAGTTATTAGTAACTTATATTTACAATTAGTTCCACGTTTCTTTCGGCAGTGATTTTGCATTCCTAAAAATGATCTTCAATTTCATCAAGGTTTTAATTGCTACTCTCGTTTTTACATCTCTTCGAAAGAATGTCAGTTTATTCCATAGCTTCGTTCGTGCATCGTCGAGGACAGGAAAACATAGTATGTCGAAAGGATTAATATCCTTCGACGCGTAACATGCAATGCCGAAACGTTGCACGCACGAAGCTCCGTTCTGGCGCGCAATAAGGAGTCGGCATTTTGTGGGGTTAAGTGCAATTTCCTCTGTCCCCTGCAGGAGAACTTCATCAACGTCGGCTTTCTGAGGCTCTTTCGCGCCGCCAGACTGATCAAACTACTGAGACAGGGGTACACGATACGTATTTTACTCTGGACCTTCGTACAATCCTTTAAAGTAAGCACGTCTCGTTAAATTAAATTCTAATTTTTTTAATTATTGATTTGCATCCCTTTAATTCATTCGTGCCAACAGCGGTTATTATTTCTTATCTTTCCATATATCCTTGATCGTTATAAATTTTGCTTCATTCATCATCAGCTTCTAGGATTAATTATCGAGATAACGATAATAAAAACCTATTTTCTTCCAGGCTCTGCCTTACGTTTGTCTCCTCATAGCAATGCTGTTCTTCATCTACGCTATCATCGGTATGCAGGTATGAATCCTCTTCTGTAGCTTCGATTTCTCACGAAGTTCCTACGAATTTGTCCTTTAAATGTATTTTTGGGGGATGATGTGCAGAAGGGTGCAGGATTGAAGTAACATGATCATTCAAGGAAGACCTAAAAATTTAATAAAATTGAAAATTTTGCAAGATTAAAAATATTATTATATAGAAATATATATAAATTGAACAATACTTATTTTATATTCTAGTGAAAGAAACAGATGCGGAATTGTTTTGTAGTTTTACACAGAAAAGATTTTCGAATTTTTATAGGTAATTGATTCTGTACGGAAAAAATAGCAGTTTTAATTGATTAAAAAACATAATTGGCCAATAATCTTCAAGATCGATGGCTTATCTACAAAGTAAAGAACTATCGCTAGCGTGCAACGTCATTTAGATATTTCTCTAAAAACGAGAGCCGTGCAATTATCTCAGCTTTGAATCGGGTGAGAAACGGCGTGTCAAAGTGATCTCGAAGTAGTTTCTGGCACGCGTAACCTTGCAGATTGGGAATTTTAAGTGACAGACAGCAGATCCCCCCGGTGGCCATTAAGTGACCCTGAAATTGTCCGTTGTCAGGTCTTTGGCAATATATCGAACGATCCGGAAACAGCGATCGATGATCACAACAACTTTCAGTCCTTCTTCGCCGGTCTTATGTTGCTTTTTCGGTGAGTCGAGCAGCTAGATTGACTGCCGGTTCGACGGCGACGAATGAGATGACCTCTGGCCACTTATCGGCTGGTCCAATTATCATTTCCCTTTTGTACGAAAAAAAACATCTTCTAAAATAAGCTAATGGTTTTATTATCTTTTAAAAATAAAAAGAGATTTTTCTTTATTTGTTTGCTCAAAATTTATCTTCGTGTGTGAGAGGGAAATGATTTTAGCGCACAGCTGGTTTATCGTCGCGATCTTTTACGATGTTTCGCAGGATAATATCATAAAAGGAATCTACGATGTCATGGAAGTCTAGAAAAACTTTCGTATCGATCGTACATTATAAAAGAAAAATTGCATTAAATGTGTTTTTACAACATTTAAATATTTTATGACAAAAGACTATTTTTCTATAAAGGAAAATAGTTTTATAGTATGATTGCAATATATTGATCACTAGCCATTCTTTTCCGGTCCCCAAGAAGCACCGTTAAAGATCTCGCGCGATACTGATGGGAGATACGTCATCGACCGTAGAGTGAAAAGTTGAAAGGGATATATATAAAAGTGTGGTCGTCGTAAATTACCTCTAGAGTAATGCTTTGTTGGCATGAGAGTAAGCTGCTCGACGTGTTAATCTGTTGTGACTCATCCTAATTAGTAACAGCCCTATAGATGCCTGCGTTAAGTTAAAGTCTTGAAGTTTTAATTAAGGTAGTGCTTGAGAGAATGAATTTTATAATAAATATTAGTTAGTATTTTATCGCGCAAATGTATAATTTTTCATAAACTTACACTCGTTTATAACTGATATACCGCTATGAAATCATCCGCAAAAAATTAATTATTAAAATGTTAAAATAAAATTTTTTAGAAATTAGAATTTTTAGTGAATTAACGTAATTTAATCATTTGTTTTAACCCACAAATTTTGTTGATACCTTAGTTCTCTCGAGTACACCGTGTACTTGTTGAAAGAAAAAGTATGAGAAACTGTAGTTAGAGAATTGAATTCTATAATACTCATTATACACGCATACACAAAACCGTGATCGAAGCGATACAAAAATTAAAATTAGTGATCATCCAGCGAGAAAGAAAGCAGAGGACATTCCAATTATTTTTGATATTTCCTTATTATTTAAAAAAAAAAGCATATTTGGTGACACAAATTTATAATGCCGCTTGTGCCTTTTGGCTGCGGCCCTCTTCTTTCTGTGGGTCTCAGGTATTCGGTAACATCAAGCTGGATGCTGATACCTCTATTACGAAGCACAACAATTTCCAAAGCTTCATACAAGGTCTGATGCTACTTTTTCGGTAAGTAACGCCACGCAAGAGGAATTTAGCTAACTGTTTAGCCATTGAATTTGACCACGTGACTATCAGCGCGATTTGCAAAATAATCGAATGAGCTTTCACGCTCAACACCTGCGGCAAGCTATCTATCAGCTCACTTATCATTTTGTTACGAGCACAATGCGGAAGACGATCCAAGTTTCCTCGGATTGCGAAAGCAGATTGATCTTTGGTGACGTCTACGTGACGAGGAATTAATTAATTGAATCACTTATGTGTCGTTAGGCATGTATCGCAAATATTGCACAAGTTGATTGCATTGATTTATTTTGTCTGAGTTATGAAAAAATATTTCAAAGGTTTTAATTTCTCTTAGATATTTTCACTACAGTATCCAAAGAGATTTGTGATGATTTAATTTTTAATTATATCAAAATTTTCAAAAAATATTCAGATATTTTATTAAAATTACATTCAAGTTAAAATGTTAGTACTATAATATATCCAATCTAAAAATATTACCATTTTTTAAATGTGTTATTCTCACGTTGAGCGTCCCAAAGTCGCGAAGTCTTCTAATTATTTACGGATGTATGTTCACAGCAGGCCTTTTCGCTTCGATCCAACCATGTTTTACTGTAAAGTTCACAGCACTAAATCGAGCACAAAAGCAAAATCAGGCTATACGACATGGCATATTCAGAGCAAACAGAATAATACACAGCAGCCTCGTGTAGAATTGAGTTCGCCGTATTAAGTTCGCAGTATCTAGCTCGCCTTTCATGTTGCGTAAAATATTAGTCCTTATGCATGCCGCACTTGCAAAGAGACTGGAACCCAATTACTTGCTCTCCTCAGTCTCGAAGCAGATATACGAAAACATTATCGGTTAAAAAGTTGTATTATAAAAATTATTATTAGTTCTTAACAACGATTTTGAAACAAATTTTACATTAAAAAATAGTTAATAATGAATTTTTATTTCTATATAATTTCTATATGCAAATATGAAATATATATGTAGAAATTTAGTAAAGCACTTAAAATCTTAAAGAGAAGATTGTAGAAACTGAGGAGATTATAGAAACTAAACTTAATATGCGCTGCAAAAGACATAATGTCATAATTCGCCAAAAGATCGCATGAACTTTTGTAATTTTTCAATTCAATTTGTTTTGCGATTGCAAATAGATGCTGCTTAATAATACTAACTTGGGATTGTTCGTATAGTACAAAAGAATTATACTTGAGACTAAATATTTATGATATAATCTGCTCACAATAAAATTAATTTATTTTCTGACTGTTTAACAGCACAAAACGATATAAATGTTTCTTGTAATAAGAATTATTATATAATTTTATTGTTAATTGAAATCTTAAAACATTTTGGTATGCCTAATTTGGAATACTTAAAACTGTTATCAGTTACTTTAATAAATGGGCATGTTGAATCAATCACAAAACAAAATTTCAATTTTCATTATATATATGTATATAATTTATATATATATCTCAACAATGAATTTGTACAGCTATAAGTATCTACTCTCAGGTATAACAAGTCGCCATAACTTTTGCAGTTAACTAATCTCATAGCAACTTTGTTAAGCGTTATCGGTTAACTTAGAATTGGAAGGTCTGCATGCGGTCGGGAATATTAGCATAATAATCGCGGCTTTTCTGGCGTATGCGATGCGTTAGGTTGCTGAAGTTCTTGTTTCTATTGACATGACACGAAAAGCGTAATAGAAATGCTTAATATGCGATTTTCTCAGGTGTGCCACGGGCGAGGCTTGGCCAAACATTATGTTATCCTGCGTAAAGGGCCGTCCCTGCGACCCAAAAGCCGAGAAGTCTGAACAGGACGGTTGCGGCTCCAACATCGCCTATGCTTACTTCGTGTCGTTCATCTTTTTCTGCTCATTCCTCATGCTAAATCTCTTCGTCGCCGTCATCATGGACAACTTCGATTACCTTACGCGGGACTCGTCGATTCTGGGCGCACATCATCTCGACGAGTTTGTGCGGATCTGGGCTGAATATGATCCAAACGCCACTGGCAAGATCCACTACACAGAGATGTACGATATGCTAAAGAATATGGATCCGCCGTTGGGGTTTGGCAACAAGTGCCCAAATCGACTTGCGTACAAGAAGCTCATCAGAATGAATATGCCGGTGGACAGTGATGGCAAGGTGAACTTCACAACAACGTTGTTCGCCCTCATTCGCGAGAATCTCAGTATAAAAATGCGATGCGGTGAGTCCATAGAAATTTATGTGGTGTAGAAAAGGGAAATGTTTACTGTTATTTCGCAGAAAACAGTTGTTGATTAATGTAATTTTTCTCAATTCTTGTATCTTACATGTGTAATGAAGTCGAAGATATTTTAAGAAACACATCTTTCAATTCTTATAAAAATATTTTCTAAAATTACATCATAGCACAGACATTACCAGAAAATAATATATTTTAAATACTTTATTATATATATTTATTTTTTTATTATACATTTATTTTTTTTGCGGTACATTACCAATTAATCATGCAAATAAGTCCAACTCTTCGTTCCAGCCGATGAAATGAATCAAGCCAATGAAGAGCTGCGGGACACGATCAGAAGTATTTGGCCTTTACAAGCGAAAAAGATGTTGGACCTTTTGATACCTAGGAATGAAGGTAAAACTCGCTTTTCTCTACCCAACAAGACATATTTTGTAATATCTAATATTGTGCAATTTCTTCCAGAATTGAGTAGAGACAAACTCACCGTGGGTAAGATATACGTCTGCCTTCTAATACTCGAAAGTTGGAGGTCGACGAAGTTTGGTCAGCTAAAGTCTGCTGAACAGGTGAGCCTCTTTTTTTTCTTCTGTCAAATTAACTATATATTTTTCATGAAAACGATAGCAGGTCCTAAAGATGCATTTCTAGTATTAAGTTTCTTTCGTGGTCCTTCATTTACGATTTTCTTTTGAATTTCGTTCCGATTTTCTTATTTTCTATTAAACAAGTTTGTGAAATGAAAGTACGATATAAATCAATATAAATAAATATTTATTAATTAAATGATTCTATCTTGATTCTTAAACTCTCTCTCTCTCTCTCTCTCTCTCTCTCTCTCTCTCTCTCTCTCTCTCTGCAAAAGAAACGAATTGGAAAATCGAAATGGAGGATCTCAATTAAGAATGAAATGAATGATGGCCGTTGGCTTCCTCGTGATAGGGCAACCCGCGAATGAATTTACGAATAGAGTATTTTCTGAAAGTCTCATGTAGTCTAGCTTGGTCACTTGGAGCTTTAATATCATCATAAAACATTTTCGAGTACAGATGGAGAAATCTCTAAAAGATAGATATACTTGAATTGATTTAAATTTATTAGATTTTGCTAAATATTTAAATTGTAGTCTTGATATCTTACGAAAAAGTTTATATCAAATTTTTACTGGAAAATAAATCTAATTATACATATATGAAGGAATAACGTTATAAGAAGAAAATAATGCCTTTCCACTTGTGTGATCCCATTAAAAATGGGACAACAGAAACAACAAACTATTTAGTCAAATTATTTATGCACAATTGTTCTCTTTATTTATATTAGCTAAGTCAATGTTTGTAGAAACAATTAGATGTGATATTACTTGAACATTGTATCTCAAAATTTGTGCAAGTAATTAATATAGATTATCTGCTTTTGATCTATCGATTGCTATTAATATGTTTTAAATAATTTATTAATATAAATCACTTTTAAGATCGATGTTGAATTGAAAAAAGTTATATTTATATCAATAAAAGAATTTTATTTAATGACAATCGGTAGATTGATTGGATAACAATATTTGTATATCATAGAAAGCCTGAAAATACTGAATGGATTTCAATTAGATTATTAGATAACAAAGAACACAATATTTATTATTTTTTAATTGAGTATCTCTAGAACAACAAAGTAATTAGGAATTCTTAAGTAAACGGATTAATGACATCTAAAGAATAGCAGTTAACAGTAATAATTTTGCACACACAGTAATATAAATAATTGATTAAATTATTTTTTTTAAATATACTCAAACCGGAAGGATGTTCACATAATTTTCAATCATCTCCTTGTGTCTTTTCTCTTTATTTTCCAGAACGATAACGATCTTATCGATAACGATAATGCTGGGCAAAGTCCTGCAGCCCAGGCGGTAGTACTTACTTTTTCTCTTACTTATTATCTTACTTATTATTATCTTATCTTAACACTGTTTTGTTTTTCTTTTGGCTGTACAATTTGTGTTTTTAAATTTTAACCACATTCGTCCGATTCGCATTAATACTGCAAAAGTTTCTTCGATCTCTTTATCGATATATCTCTCTCTAACTCTAATATTTTCATAAAAATAACTCATTACTACTTTAAAAAAAGAAACGAATCTTTTGCAGCATATAATTCATTTTTTTCTAAAATAACACTTTTCACAGTCCAATTTTTTCTACTTCGCTCTTCACTCACATTATCCAGAGGCACACGCGATGGATGCAAAAAAAATGCATCGCGCATATGCAAAGTGTCTCACGTAATGCGATTTACACGAATTACTTTTTCTTCTTTAAGATAAATAAAGTCTTTTATATATTTTAATAACTTTCTTTATCCCTTTAATATTTTAAATAATAAAATATTTACGTGAAACACATTGCGCGAAATAACTTGTAAATTAATTTTTATTTTTTATTACATATAGTAAATTATAAATTATTACATATAGTAAAAATTTAACGCGCCTCTGGTATGTCTTTCTATTTTACACTGCACACAATTTTTTTTCACTCGTTATAAATGTATACGATTACTTTCGACCTTTCTTTCATTTATGTAAAGTAGCCTTTTATTTAACACTAATATAATCATGTACATATGTACACACTACCAAAGGCGTAGCGAAACAGCTATTGTCATCAATATAGTCATATAAAATCATTATCGTACGATATCAAGTACATTTAACGAATAAGTTGAATGCGCACATGATAAAACTATAGAATTATATTTTTAAATTAATTTTTAACTTCAAAATAAACTTCTATTGCTATGGCTGCGTTCGCTTTGCCGCTCACAGCGCTTATGAGTATCAATTGTCTTTGTTTAATATTTACTAAACAACAAGAATGAAACGACGCTTAAAGTGTTGTGAACGCAAAAGCGAACACAGCCTATATTATGTATTTATAAACGTGTATACATATGGGGCATTCTCCGCGTGTCGGAGTCCCCTTCTGCCCATTTCATTTTTTGACAGAATTCAACCAACCAGGGCTTAAAATTTTCGTTGGAGTGTCTACTTTTTAATGGCGTGTGGCCTTTTGTGAAAATTCAAAATGGCGGACTAGTGCAGCGCCGAGAATGAAAAAAGTATAAAAAATGAAGTATATATCTTTAAAAAAAATGCAGAATTGACACTTCATTCGGATGATACTGTATACTGATGAGTTTTCGGGGTTACTGGTTCCGATTCTGAAGTCGAAATTGAGAAATTCAAAATGGCGGACCGAACATGGCCGACCGAAATGTCGAAATCTCACTTATTTCTTATGATATTTATAATAAATCTTTCTGCATACAGAACATACTTTACGACACGATAATTTCGGAAATGTACGCAACATTGCTTTTGATATACAGCGTAAATCTTTACCGATATGACCTTTTTCCCCCGGTACAGAAAACGGATTTGCGCATCTGTCGACTCGACTACTGGAAGGCATTGTAAAATATATCTAGTCAGTTGGGAAATAGATAATCTACATTCACGAATTCTGTTTGGAAATTTCTAATTGAAAAATTGACAGATAAAATATCAAGGCGAAAAATGAAGACAAAAACTAAAGAGAAAAATCAAGTGAGAAATCAAG